TTCTCATGCTTATTAAAGTGTTATCGCAATCGAAAATGATACAAACAACTTTACCACCGTCCAACGATGCCATTTACAATGTATTTTCTCAATTATTAACTTCTCACAATGGATTACAAAGTCCTAATAATTCAGTGGAACTGTCGTAGCATAACAAACAAGAAATCAGACTTATTTTATTTGATTAATAAATATAATCCTTTTATAATAGCTCTCAAGAGACTTGGTTAAAGCCAGGATATCCTTTTAGGATTTCAGGCTTTACAAGTCTCCGTGATGATAGAGCTGACGGATATGGCGGTGTTGCCATATTGGTCAAAAACTCCCTTCCTTTTTCTTTTTTTTCGCTTCCTGTATATAGCGGCATTAATGCAGCTGCTATAATTATAAATGGTATCTGTTTTGTTACTTTATATATTCCTGATCCTACATGCCAAATATATTCACAACTAGAACAATTATTTTCAATTTTACCTAAACCTTTTCTCGTAATGGGCGATTTTAATGCTCAACACCAATCGTGGGGCAGTTCTACTTCTAATTTTTATGGTGGAAAACTCCTGACGATAATTGACACTTACAACTTATGTATTATTAACTCAGATGTACCAACACGTAGAACTGCACCGAATGAAGGGTTTAGTGCTCCTGACATTTCAATATGTTCTTCTGATTTAGCTTCTTCACTGTCGTGGTATCCTCATTCCTCTACTTTCGGAAGCGATCACTTTCCCCTAATTCTTTCTTTTCCAATTTCCATTCCCTCAAGTCGAAAGAGTGGTCCTCGGCTTAAATATAATTTATCAAATGTAGACTGGAATATTTACAAACAATATTTAGATAATAAAATATCGGAGTTACCTATTGTTTACCATGGAAATGAACATCAATGTTGTAATGACTTGATGATAAATATGAAGGAGGTTGCTGATTTATTATCTCCTGTTAAAAATAGTGCTTCAGGGAAAATTCCCTCGCCACCTTGGTGGGACAAAGATTGTACGGAAGCAATTAAAAATCGTAAAGAGGCTGAAAAAAAAATTATAATAATTACATGACACCAGAAAATTTTGAAATTTACACCGCAGTTTCACGTTCTACTCGAAAACTACTGAAAAAAAAGAAATTAGAAGGCTGGAGAAGATTTTGTTCTTCTATCTGTCCAGAAGTTAATTCATCAGTCGTTTGGAATAATATTAAAAGATTCAGATCTGCCTTTAGTGATCATACATCACGTTCTGCACTCGATTTAACTTTAGCGAATAAATTTTTAGATCGTCTTGCTCCTAGTTATGTGCCGGAATGCCTTTACAATATTTCTCTATCCGTCTCTGACGAATTATTCGAACTTGACTCTCCTTTTACTCTAGTAGAACTTAAAGGTGTTCTAGCTTCTATTAAAGACTTGCACCGGGAGAAGACGGTATACCGTATTCCTTTTTAAAAAATGCTAGCGATGCGACATTAATTTACTTTTTAAATATAATTAATTCCATAATTATTTCGGGAAATATACCTACTTCATGGAAGTCTCAGATTATTATACCATTTCTAAAGCCTCATAAACCACCTTCTGAACCATCTTCATACCGTCCTGTTGCACTTTCCTCTGTCTTACTAAAGCTAGCTGAACATTTAGTGAAAAACCGTCTAGAAAAAGAACCAGTTTGGTTTTAGGAAAGGTAAGAGCACCTTAGATAATGTGAGCATTCTTATTTCAGATATTCATATAGCTTTCTCACAAAATTTGTCAATCCTCTCAGCCTTTTTAGATATAAATTCTGCCTATGATAATGTAATAATTTCTATTTTAAAAACTAAATTACAAGCTCTAAATGTACCGGTAATGCTTTCTAATTTCATTATTAATATTTTATCAGAAAGAACAATATATATGAATTTAGATGAAGATACCAAATTATCTAGAACAGTATGGAAAGGCCTTCCACAAGGATCTGTTCTCAGTCCAATCTTATTTAACATATACACATACGATCTAGAATTATTCCTTGATAAATCCGTCAAAATTTTACAATATGCTGATGATCTTTTATTATATTTTATTGCGAAGTCCATAGAATCTGCTTCTGCCAAATTATCTGATTCATTAGATTTGTTAAAAACGTGGTTAGATGCAAATGGTCTTAATCTTTCTGTAACCAAGAGTAGTGTAGTTTTGTTTTCAAGAATGAGATCACCGCAACAAATTAAGGTGCTTTATGATAACTCATACATTCCTATAAAGACTGAAATTAAATTTTTAGGTATCGTGCTAGATAATAAATTAACAGGTCTGTCCCACTGTAATTATATTTCTACGAAATGTGAGCGTAACCTCAACATTCTTAGGTGCCTTGCTGGAGTTTGGTGGGGAGCACATCCCGTTTCACTAAAACTTGCTTATAATGGTCTTATAAGGAGTGTCATTGATTATGGAACTTTTTTGTTAGCTCCAGGAAGTTCATTTGCTTTTAAGAAATTGGATTTAATTCAATCAAAGGCCTTGAGGATTATCTCTGGAGCAATGAAATCAAGTCCAATCAATGCTTTACAGCTCGAAGTCGGTGATCCACCTTTGGTTTTAAGAAGACAATATCTATCTGATCGCTTCTTTTTTCGTTGTTTACAATTATCTGATCATCCGCTTATTCAAAAGTTATCTCAACTACATATCTTTATTTCGTCTTCATCTTATTGGAAACATAAAAAACCTCCATGTTTAATACAAAGTTATGAAAAATATAAATCCATAGAATCTCCCACTTTTACATCGTCCTGTTTTCCCATTTATAAATGCTCATATCAATCTTTAGTTTTATCTCCTAATATTAAATATGATTTTGGGTTATTAAAAAATGATTCAGAATTGAATGCCAAATTTATGTTTATAACTGACATTGAATGGAATGAATGGCACTACATCTTTACTGATGCATCAAAACCAGACAATAGCGGTTGTGTAGGTGTGGGTGTGTTTCATTCACAATTTAATATCGTTCAAAAAATTAAACTTCCACCGGAGTCTTCAGTTTTTACCGGGGAATGTTATGGTATTTTAAAAGCTGTAGAATATATACTTTTAATGAAATTACATAAGGCAATAGTTTTCACTGACTCTATGAGCTCTTTGCAAGCTCTAGCCAAATATCCGTTTAAATCAAAACCAGTTTATCCCATTATTTGTGACATAAGACAAAGTCTTTATCTTTGCATGTTGAGAGGTTATTCCGTTTCTTTTGCCTGGTTACCAGGACACAGTGGTATTAGCGGCAATGACAAAGCTGACCTTATTGCAAGAGAGGCTGTAACTTGTGGTGATATATCCGTATCATAATTACTGTAGTGACCTAGCTTGTCTCCCAAAAATATATTTAAGGTATGCCTGGAAGGAATATTGGGAAAAAACAAGTACAATAAAAGGAAGATTTTATCGCCTTATACAACCCGATATTCCTTTCAAACCATGGTTTTGTAAATTAAAGCTTGGAAAGACCGCAACAACTATTATAACTCGTATGCGTCTAGGTCACGTATGCACACCTTCTCATTTATACAAGCTTGGTATTGTACAAAGTTCGTCGTGTAATTGCAGTGCTGAAGTGGCGGACTTGAATCATATATTCTTCTCATGTTCTAAATTTATCCTTTTTAATCATCTCCGATCCATCCGTGTTCCATTCCCAACTTCTATTCTTACTCTACTTTCTTCCAATGATCCTATTATCTATAAAATACTATCTTCATATATATATGATAACAATATTAAGATTTAGTTATATTACATGAATACATTTATAGTTGCATCAATTGCTTTTCCTATATATTTATAAGTATATTCTCATATGTACAAGTATATGTTTCATATCCTATAAATATCCTAGACCTAATCCTTATCCTTTCTAAATTCGTTTGTGTTAGGTATTTTTATTACTATTATCGTTTCCCCGTTTTGTTCTTGGCAAAATACCCTAATATCGGGGTGAACGCCACAAAAAAGAAAAAAAAAAAAAAAAAAAAAATTCCTAAGTCAAATTCAGAAATAGTGTTGTACTAATATTAATATAAACAATAATTATGATTAATAGCTAATAGACCGAATAATACATATGACGATTCTAAGAACATATCTACTAAATCCATTTAAACAAACCAATGAATGATTTTCGGTAGCAAATATTAAATTTAAAATCAAATTTGTACTTGAAAATGAAGTAAAAAAATATAGATACGTTCATTTACGATACTTAATATAAATATTTTTATTCCATATGAGATATTAACATTTATAGACTGTTACTATTTTCCATTACGTACCATTTCAACTTTACAAAGAAGCCTTTTAGCAGCTTCAAGTCGCATAAATTTTTTATTTATCTTAAAAATTATTTCTTTTCTATCCAATTCATAGTTAATGTAGATAGTTATGATAAAATGAACCACTTAAACATCAAAATAATTAAACATTTCTTTTTCTTTATTACTTTTTTATTTTTATACCACGAAGGTGACCAACATGCTTACAGTCCGTCTGATGGTAAACAGTTATTATAATTTATGGATGCCTGCACCACTAGAAGAAGTATCACGTACGCGTTATCGATCTTGAATAAACCTTTATATACCCTTTTTGAAAAACTCCATACTATAGTCTCCAAGGAAAACCTTGGTTGCAAGGAATTTGCAACAAACTTTAAAAAGAGGGCGAGCACAAAAGATTATGGAAAGTTCGCAGTGTCATCGGTTTTTCTACCTGAAAAAGCCTGTGTTTTAGTAATAACAATAAAAAGGGTTAAATTATTTAAAAAAAATATTTCGTTACTTATTTTCAATAAATATTAAAATTATGATAAATCATAATTTGATTTCAATCGATTATATTATATAATGAAGAATGCTAGAAATCGATTACTCATTATCGATTATTCGTCTTACGTATTATTGTCATGAGTGACAACAATCTTTTAACCTCAAATTTGTTTTCTAGTGTACTTCATGTATGTAATAATTTACTTTATTTAATATTGATTACAAAGAGAAATTATATATATATATATATATATTGCAATTTACTAAATATTTAAGCTTAAGTAATAATACATATATAATAATACTTAAGTAGTATATATAAAATCAACAGTTTTGTGATTGTCTGATGTAATGTTATTCTGTCCAACGTGCGCTAATATTTTGATGGTAGAAGAAGGTCCCGAACAAGGGCTTAGGTACGCTTGCAATACATGCCCATATATATATAATATCAAGAGAAAAGTATACTCGCGTACATTCCCAAAGTTAAAGGTAATAAATCATGTAACAAATTTAAACTTTCAGTGCCTATTACTTATTCTATCTCATTTTTAATTTTATTTTTCAGGAACTTGACTATATCATGGGCGGCGCTGCTGCCTGGGAGAACGTAGACTCCACTGACGCTGTGTGTCCCAAATGCGCCCATGGTAGAGCTTTCTTCATGCAACTACAAACTCGGTCTGCCGATGAACCTATGACTACCTTTTACCGCTGTTGCAATCATAAATGTGCTCACAATTGGCGTGATTAATATATAATATACTTTTCTTTACTTAACTTTATAAAAATAAACTAATTGAAAGTGTTGCATTTGTGTACAATTATGAATTTCATAAAACATCTAAAGATAAGTTTAGTGAGACATGAAAGTGTGTCAACAAAAATGAAGATTAATAAAATGGCAGATATTATTTCATGTCACGATGAGACATCCTATGCTAGAGCTGCTGAATGTCTCACAAATGGACAAGTAATAGCAGTTCCAACTGATACAATATATGGATTAGCATGTAGTGCAAACTGTCCTGATGCAATAAAGAAACTCTACACAATTAAAGGCAGAGATTCAGTTAAACCTGTGGCTATTTGTGTAACATATGTACCAGATGTGAGAAAATGGGGTCAGGCAGAACATTTAAGTGATAATCTACTCCACAGCCTACTACCCGGACCAGTCACTGTGGTTTTAGAAAAGACGAAACATTTAAATAATCCATATCTTAATCCACATACAACTAAAATTGGTATACGGATACCAAATCACAACTTCATGAATAAAGTAACAAAGTTATTTGATAGGCCAGTGGCATTGACAAGTGCTAATTTCAGCAATGAGCCGTCAACATTGTCAGTTAAGGAATTTGAACATTTGTATAGTAACTTGGGAGCGGTATTCGATGGTGGTGTGTTGAGTCATGGTCTGGAGCAAAACAGAACAGGCTCCACTGTTATAGATCTGTCAAAAGTTGGCCATTACAATATTATACGCAGGGGAATTTCTTATGATAGAATCATAAGGATATTACATAGTCATGGTCTAAAAAGTACTGAATAAATATTGAAAAGATTACATTCTGCTTATTGTAGCATGGTAGAGTAAGTCAATATTTTGTTAGTATTATAGATCAAATGAGGAACAGCACACATTATTTTTTTTACCTTGTACATTGTATGTACATGTTATGACAGACTGTCTTGGTATCCTACATAATAATAGCTTTTTCCATTCAAAGATATAAAAGTGAGGGTAGTTCTAGAAAAACACTGACATATAGAATTATTGACATACAATAGTTAGTTTTTATTGAAACCAGTGACAATATTGTGAGATTTTAGAGTCAATAATAATAATAATAAATTATTTCTGATGATTAAGTTTTTTTGAAACTATAATTTTAGTTTTTTTTTGTCTACAGTTTCAGTGCTTTGTTATTTCACTCTGTACTTATACCATGCTACAAAACACAAAATATCTCTATTATTCTGCTTTATCACATAACAATCTTTGATTATAACAACAGGTAGATAGAGATGGTATAAGTTATTAAATAAATAATACATAATGTAACTATTGTTTTTTACTTTTTATAAATCACAAAACATTTTTTGTTTTAATAATTCTTTATTCATACCTAATATCATAATATAATTATAATTCAAATGTTACAATTTACATTTTATTATATTAATAATCAAATAGAAGTATTTGAAAAAGAAAATAGATTATCAATAGATAGCTGCTCAGTATGTTAAGTACATTTTTGCAAAGAATATAATTGTCAAGGATTATAAGGAACTCTTGTATTAAAAAAAAACAAGACTAGAAAGAATTCTTACAGAATAACAGAAATTACAAGTTAGAATTGTTTATAGATAGTATTTACAATTCAAAATGTATTTATAGAATAATTTTATGCAAGAAATAATATCACTAGGCTTGTAGCGCCATGAATGTCACCTTGTAATGAATTTTATTCGAAAATAGCACTTGAAACTCCTACTACTAATACACATTTTCCATTTAGACATCAATTAGTACTGAACAGCACTGCTAATAGGTTTTCTACTGTTTGGAATCTTTGTTTCAAGATTCTGCCATCTCTCTGGTGGCCACACAATGCAAACAGCTTTTGCGTTAATTAAACCTAATGACACGGGCCCAAATGTATTGCTATCGAGTGTGTGGCCAGTGTGGTCGCCCTCAACCCAGCAGTGGCCTTCTGGAATTTTCACATACTGGTTCTGGTACCCTAGGGTGCTAACAACATCACCCTGCAGTGCCACAACACGTTTAATTATCTTCTGATTTGGATCTTTAGGTGATATTAAGGATATTATGTCACCTCTCTTTATTTCGTAATCTCTTACTGCCCATCTTGATAGAAATACGTAGTCTGTGTTTGTAGACTGTGGATTTAGAGCTGGCTGCATTGAAATGCCTTCGACTCTAGCCACATATCCAACGGTGTCAAGAACTGTAACACCAATCGGCAATCCAAACAGAACAGATCTGAAAAAGTTTTTGAGCCACATCGAGTCGCCGGCACGTTAAATTCTGGCACTGAAATTCGCCTGACATAGTCGAATTACTGCATGTTACTTAACGTTTATTTATTTGTCATTATTTATAAATATTTAAATTTCTCTGTAGGATAAAATTAATAAGGCAATATTTTTTTGACCTTTTGTAAAAAAATATATAGAGTAGACCACAGATTAAATATTACTTTATCTAAAGCAAAATAATTTTAACTCCGCCAAAGATTATAAATATTTTTTTTGTGTAGTCTATACAATCTGTGGTCATTAGTATAAAGTTTAGTTCTGTTTATTTAGTAAAATCTAAGGTATATTTTACACAAGCCAAGTAAATTATTTGAAAATGTAAGAATAATGTAATATAATCAACGTAAGCACCTATTATCCTTAATCTATGGTAATCAAGAAAACCATCCCGGCACGTCACAGTCATTCACCAAATGAATGACCATAGAGCATATTGGTCTTTACAAATACTCAAAAAAGTGTTGATGCTTTCTATAGTAAATTACAACCAACCAAACAGAAATTTTAGACATTTTATTTGTGTTAAGCAAGTTTAATATCACATAAATAAAGCTTGATAAACAAGAGTATCAATAAATTTATATGTCAACAGCGTTATTATAATCATCATCGACAAATGGAAGTGTTTCATGGTGGAGAAAAACTTACAATCTGCATAATCAGCTGTCAGTGAAATAGATCATCTGTCCCTGTAAATATAAAAGCTGAAACAATCATAACACATTTTATATCAGTGAATGTAAATAATGAGGTAAACAATCTCGGTACAATGTGACCCTGAATGTGCATACGACGGCAGGGATATCAAAGCAGATATGGGATAATAACCTATCATCGGAGCGAGGTGGTACTGTCCCGCTATGGCTGGACATCCGTGAGCTGTCGCGCATGTTTCTTCACCAGAATATCATTGAAAAGTGAAATATGTCCGGCGACTTTCCCTTCGTGGCAAAGATAGTGAGCCCAGTGAAGTGCAATGAGAAACCTTGGAATCATTGGGTGAGCGAGATTGGGCATGTGTCGCCGCGGCGGGACGATGAGGTGTTCACGTCGCCGGCGCCGGTGGAGAAGGGCGGGGCGTCCGCCCGCCGCAGTCACGACTCGCACCCATACAAGGTGTCGGATCGGGCACGGTACAGGCGCGCGGGCCTCAACCGCCTCAAGTATGAGAGCATGAGCCTCCACGGTCTGTTCCCCCAGATGGACAATTTAAACGCGGCTGTGTGTCACATGTGCGGTGATATAGTGAAATGTAGTGCGGCTTATAGACATTTGCTGGACTCTCATTCGGGTATGGACCCTCTTTTACCGCCGCCGCCGCCTGCAACCACAGTCAGGAATCGGAGCCGGCATAAAAAGGAAGCACCACCTCCCTTACCTGTAGACCTGATGCCAGTGAAGATGGAGACTTCACCAGTTCACAATGCTACCGCCCCACTGTCAAGGATAGTTTTACCGCAGCCAGAGCTGCAGTATCTGGATGAAGCTAGTACATCCTCAGCAGTGACTGGGGAAGTTCAAGTGTGTGTAGAAAGTGGAGAGTTACCTGTGGTCAGTATACAGGATACAGAGGATTTGCCGCTTGGAGAAAATATAACTGATGATATATTTGCAATTATGAACTCTGAAGGCATTCAAAGTGCTGATGACATTACAAATGCTGCAGACTGGAAGAATATTATAAGAGATATAGGTAATATGCAAGAGATTAATTTTCCCCAAACCACCGAACCTGTACAATCACAAGATTTGTATGGGCAAATACATGCACCAAACCTGTCCGCATATACATTATCAGATACTGATTTAAGTAATATCCAGTTTGCACCGAATACTTCCCCAATGCTACCATCTGTGATAGATGCGAACGTTCACAGCACGCAAGCTTTAAAACCGCGGGCGTCTACGCCGAGCACGCCCTCCACCAAGTCACAATCTAGATCAAAAACAAGCAAAACGAAATTTAATTTACGAGAATACGACCCGAACAAACACTGCGGCGTGGTCACTGTAGAGAATCCGAAACCTTGCACAAGGTCCTTGACTTGTAAGGCTCACGCACTGTCCCTGAGGAGGACGGTGGACGGCCGGTCGAAGCCATTCGACACGCTGCTAGCGGAGCACCGAGCGTCGCGAGACGCGGGCGCGACGGCCGCAGCCGCAGCCACGACCGCAGCCGCCGCGCCGCTCGTGCTGCACACACCCGCGCCGGCGCCAGTGCCGGCCGCGCCGCCCGCTTCTGTGCCGCTCAACCTCCCACCGCTCCTAGTCAATACGATAGATCTCAGCACCTTCAATGGGCTCACGGCCGAGCAACAGGTGCACGTAGAGAACATCTACGAGAGCCTCCTCAATGTAGACGATCCCAATTCGGTGCTGCCGGATACGTCAAGTATCACCTCGCTGCTCAGCCAGCCATTGACGACGGACCCGTTTATAATGCCGGACGACGCGGAGATACCTACCACCGTGCCCATACTGAGTATAACACCGCCCGTGGAGCCCGCGCCGTCCGCGCGGATAGACGAGAAGCCGGATGAGGGACCGCCACCCCTCGTCCCTTCCGACGTGTGCTGGTACTCGTCGTGTCCGCGTCCCCTCGCCCTCTGTACCTTCAACGCGTCGCATGCCGGCGGCGCGATTACATTAGGAAAAAAATTCGCCACCGTACGGAGTAACATAAAGTCTTCGCTGTCACGGTCGCAGTGCAAGTCGACGGGCGGCACGAACAATTATTACTACAATCAGAACGCCCTGTCGTTGTCGAAAAGTGTGCATATGAACGCTAGTAAAACGAATAAGCCGGAAGTGCGTAAACTCATAGTGACGTGTAGTGCTACTAGTAGTGGTAATAAGGAGGTGCAACAGACGTTGAGTGAACTGTTCGGTGGTAGTGAGGTGCGGCACACGATGAATGGACACGTGGGGCACATGGGGCTCGCGGGCGCAGCGGGGCACAAGCCCCGGTCGAGCGGCGGCTCGCTGAAGCACTCGAAGCGGCCGTCGCCCGCCGTGCTCGACCTCGGCTTCTCCCTCGACGTTCTCGCCGACGAGAAGTGCTGAGCGTTATAAGCAATCATCGGTTGTGTAGTCGCATATTGTATATTTATTTTTCTGTAAAGAATCGAATCGGACTCACGTTGTAAAAAGTAAAGTAATCACGAATTTTATCCCGATCGGAGTTTAATGTTACGATAATGTTAAATCTCATTTTTTTGTCGAGAAGCGAATTAATATTTGTATTATTTTGTATATTATTTATAAGATTTTTTTTAAAAAAAAAACAACATCTCCGATGCAAAGTCGGTCTGTGTCAATGAATTAAAATAGCTTAATATACAGAATGGTTGTATTTTTTCGAAATGACATATTACACATTGTTGATACTGATTGAATACTGATAAATGGCCTAGATTAATAATGGTTTAATGTGATGAAAATTTCCATGTAAAAATATAAATACTATGATAAGTCTATCCGTAATAGTAAAACGCCTCCTTTTGAAAATAAAGGCAAATACCTCAATAACTAAAATATCTTGTTTTAATTTATTCATTAGCACACCTTAACAGGTTCTTGGTATTTTTTTGTGCCAGAAATTTGACTCGAACAACGTAGATTCCCACGTTATGAAAGACGCCTCGTAATAACTGTTTCAAGAATGAGTACCCGTAATTAAAACGACGATTAGATATTAACATAACATTAAAACCAGTCTCAAGTTAATTCAAAATTGTATTCCGACCATTATGATTTGGAAACTGATACATTTTAATTTACTTCACGCTCATTTCATTTGCGTTCTATCTTCACGCTAAGTCTCTTGTGGGGCAAGCAATGTGCAGACAACCGTATACAAAAGGCCTCTAACTTTATTCAGTTTCATATAATTTAATTATTAGAATTTTAACTCTTGCTAACTTCAAATCCTTTTAAGTCTTACCATTTCTCCCTTTAAGTACTATTTTCCTGTATTCTCTCTTAATCTTCCTTTTTGATTCTCCCCTGTTGTACATATATGTGCTATTTAGTATGTTTATTTATATTTATATATATATATATATATATGTTTTGTATATATTAGTATTTAAATAATAGTACTCCATCTACCCTTTCTCTTTTTTCTCAATATCCAGATCTCAATATCAATAACCAGAGGGAGACTTTGTACAAAAGTCGATTGCTTGGGTACTTCTGTCCCATTCGTGTTTCAACCGTGAAGCAGTTGTTTCGGTTTGAAGGGTGAGTTATGGCGTGAATTTACTGGGTACAGAGGAATAACACCTGAGTCCTCAGGAATGGCAACGCATGGGGTAAATTATGGGAGAAACAGTATACTCTGTTATGTCCATGGTACTGCTCATGTCTATAGGCGACGGTTACCACTTTCCATCAGGTGGGCCGTCAGCTTGTTTGCCATTCTAAGTTGTATAAAAAAAAATCCATAGCTCAGCAATAAGGCTTTCTTTTGTATAATTTGTCATTAAAACTTACTGTATTTATTATTTTTATCAATGGTGCAAAAAAATGTACATAAATATATGAGACTGATTTCAGTTAATTTTAATAATAAACAAAATTTGTATCAGAGACGACTGTAAGGTCGCTCCTTGCCACGTTGGAATCTAATACGCACTGTGAAGGGATCGTTAGTAATAGAGTCTAAAATTCCCATTTGTCGCAACATATCCTATTAAGTCGACCTCCATGCTGCTCTCCCTGGAAACCATCGTGGTTAATTCGTCAGGATGGTCTAACTGACCTTTTCATCCGCATCTGTCATCTTTCACTGGTGCCCCGCCAGCATATACCTATAGCGCAGGCAGGGTTAGCATTCCATTATCGTCCATTAAAAAAAAATATGCACTGTAAAGTGTGGACATATCGAGTATTACGTTCACCACAACGGAATAAATTTTGAAAACTTAAAACGTCATACAAAAGTCGTCTGTATGACTAACTTTGTAGCATTCATGTTTTTGCCGTGATGCAGCCGTACATGCATGGCTCTGTTTTGGTTTAAGGGATGAGATATGACTGAGAAATTACAAAGTACGAAAGCAAACATCATGGTGCTTGGAAATGGCAACGTTAGCAAAACTTTGATAATACCATAGTCATTTGGGGTTCTTCAAAAGGGGGGGGGGGGGGGTAAAGAGGTTTCTTCAGGGTCGGCAAAGCGCGCGTAATACCTCTGGTATTGCAGGTGTTCATAGGCTACGGTAACCACTTATCATCAGGTGGGTTGTATGCTTGTTTGCCACCTCAATGGTAAAAAAAAGAAAAATATTTTATTTATTCATTGAAGTGTCAGAATAATCGAATGCGGTAACTAGTAATTGTTGATATATATACGTACTAAAATTATATATATAAACAAAAAAAAATATATATCAATAATAAATATACTTACACATATATAATTATGGTATATTTTGTAACGTATTATAAACGTTGAAGTCTAGGCGACGGTTACCACTTTCCATCAAGTGGGCCGTTAGTTTGTTTGCCATTCTAAGTTGCATTTTTTTTTTATACAACTTAGAATGGCAAACAAGCTGACGGCCCACCTGATGGAAAATGGTAACCGTGCCTATAGATATGAGCGGTACCATGGACATAACAGAATATACTGTTTCGCCCATGATACCCCCCATGCGTTGCCATTCCTGAGGACTCAGTTGTTATTCCTCTGTACCCTGTAAATTTACGCATTCTTAAAATATCTTTAAAGCCTAACTGCGGTTGCCAAACCACCTGCCAAGCGTGGCAACTACTGACAAAACACCCAAATCATCAGAAAATTTTACTTAAAAATTATATGTAATCAAGAATCGAACTTGGAACCTCAGTGTTGTTGATTACCTTGACGCGACAAATATAGTTTTTTTTTGATGGGTGAAAATGGTATGGTAGCCCCGCCTGCGCTAGCGGGATACGCTGGCGGAGCACCAGTGAAGGGTGATAGATGAGAATGAAAACAGGCCAGTTAGCCCATCATGATGAATTCATTAGGAATTAACCATGATAGTTTCGAGGGGGAACCGCGAGGAGGTCGACTTGGTTGGGTATATTGCTAGCAATGGGATTCTCAGTCTCCATCACTAACAATCCCTTTCCCCCATAAAATATTAATTAATGTTTTTTTAATGTAATTAAGAATGGTAAACAAGTCGACGGTATGTATGTAACCATTGTCGTACGGGGGGAAGGGATTGTTAGTAATGCGAGCTACCAGTTCCATTACTAGCAATATACCCTGTCAAGTCGAGCATCTCACCTGTTGGCCCACACTGGTGCCCGGCCAGAATTATACCGTCAGCGCAGACGGGGTTACCATTCCATTATCATCCATTAAAAAAAACCATATTCGTGCAATAAATGATTTAAATTTGAATTTAAAAGTCTCCCTCTAGTAAATACTGGCCTGTTTTCATTCTCATCTACCACCCTTCACTGGTGCTCCGCCAGCGTATACCGTTAGCGCAGGCGGGGTTACCATACCATTTTCACCCATCAAAAAAAAAATACTGGGTTGTTGTAGCAATTAATAAAATAAAACAATTGTTATTAAAACGTAAAGATCACATTATATTTATCTTAATTGCGAACAAAAAGTAAATATACACAATAACGATTACAAGATCTTGATATAAAATCACTTTCTATTTTTCGCTTTAATTTTGCTGCCTTTTGTTTTTGATTTAACGATGCCCTTGAATTGCTTCGACGTGATTGCTCTCGTTCTGTAAAAAAAAAAAATATAAATAAATATATTAATCCTAAACTAGTATTATAAATGCGAACGTTTGTTTGTTTGTTTGTTGCGCTTTCACGTCTGAACCGCTGAATTGATTATGATGAATTTTTGTATAGAGATAGAATAGATTTAGGGCCGGCAAGGCGCGCGTAATGGTTCTGGCATTGCAAGCGTTCATAGGCTACGGTAACCGCTTACTATCAGGTTTCACCAGAGGGAGACTTTGTACAAAAGTCGATTGCTTGGGTACCACTGTCCCATTCGTGTTTCTACCGTGAAGCAGTTGTGTTTGCACGGCTGTGTTTCGGTTTGAAGGGTGGGATATGGCGTGAATTTACAGGGTACAGAGGAATAACACCTGAGTCCTTAGAAATAGCAACGCATGGGGGGTATCATGGGCGAAACAATATACTCTGTTATGTCCATGGTACTGCTCATGTCTATAGGCGACGGTTACCACTGTCCATCAGGTGGGCCGTCAGCTTATTTGCCATTCTAAGTAGTATAAAAAAAAAGGTGGGCCGTATGCTTGTTTGCCACCTCAGTGGTATAAAAAAAAGATGGGGCTCTGGAGAGGGTTGTAGCTTACTTTTACTCCCGGCCAGTGAACATATATATCAACCACGTGAACGAAGTCATGGGAAAAAGTATATAGTACTTCCTTTCCGGTTAAGGGAACCTAATGGTCAAAAGACAGGTAGCAGCGTTCCTCTTAAAACATCTCCAACGTCTAACGTTAAAACCGCTGTTATTAACTTTATGGAAAACTTATGTCCAGCAGTGGACGGATAACTTTCAACGAAATAATAAATGGTGAATATAAAAAATTAATTTATTTTTTATAGCCTCTCATTTATTTTAATTTTTATTGCGTGATAGATGATGGCTAGAATGAACAGGCAGATCAGTTAGCCCATCGTGATGAATACACAGAATTCCGATGGGATCTTCACAGAGCCTTACGGGGAGCGACCTCACCGTTCCGAGGATTTCTAAACGTTGATGGGCCACAGCCTCAGATTCCAGGATTTTGTTGAGCAGCCGTTTCTTCGCTGCGTGAAAACAGTGCCTCGACATAGAGCTGTAACCTATTTGTGGACACACTGGCGAAACCCTATATTTTATTGTGTATAAATGTTTGTTTAATGGACAATGACCCGTTATTGTCCCTATCATTGTTTTGAGGTTTTTTCTATCTAGAAATAAATGATGATAATCACTACATAGTACAAAACGAAGTCGCTTCCCGTCTGTCCGTCCCTATGTATGCTTAGCTCTTTAAAACTACACAACGGATTTTAATGCAGTTTTTTTTTTAAATAGTTAGAGTGATTCAAGAGGAAGGTTTATATGTATAATACATGCATAATATTGTAGAGAAACACTGATATTTTTAGAGGTTTCTAATGTAATGTGCACCCGTGCAAAGCCGGGGCGGGTCACTAGTAATATAAATAAAATCTCATTCAAATTTTAAATACAAGAATGGTGCATTTTTAGTGGCATTGCTCTATTCACAAAGAAAAGTATATGACAGACGTTTCTACCTCTATTTTATAAATAAATCACCATTTACCTTCTGTTCAAGTTTTTCCTAGACAGTGGCAGGTACGCGTAGGGATCGTGTTTACCCTTCTTCTTGACATCGCCTTTCGCCTTTTTAGACCTAAATTCTGTGCCGACGGTTGACGCTACAGATGCCGCTGACCCAATGGGCCTGTTTAAATAAAATAATTATATAAATTAATACTTTTTAGTAATAAAATGAAATTGTTAATAGATGATAGTATATAGAGACACGAATGCACCTACAGGCACACGCACACACACACACGCGCGCGCGCACACACACGCACAAACACACACACACGCGCGCGCTCACGCACTCACACACGCACACACACACACTCACGCACTCACACACACACTCACGCACTCACACACACACTCACGCACTCACACACACACGCACGCACTCACACACACTCACGCACTCACACACACACGCACGCACTCACACACACGTTCTCAGAAATGGCAACGGAACATTTTTTTTTATATTTTTTTATCTATAACTTACACATGACTTTCGATTCGCAAGTCCGTCTCGCACTTGACCGATTTTTTTTTAAATATAATATTTAAATTATTGAGAAAACTTGTTCCGTCCAACATGCTTACCTGTGTATACCTTTCCCGCCAGCCTTGTATTTGGACGTTACCGTGGCGGTGGAAGCCTTACTACGGTTGGACCGTCCGCTCTTGATACTGAGTATGTCGTCGTAGCGACGCTTGGTGCCCGGCTTGATCAGTTTCGATGATTTTCCTTGGTTTTCATCGTCTAAAAAAAAAATCATAAAATCAACAATATAAATAGACATTCTTAAAGGGCCTCCTGAAAATCAGTGTCGTAGCTTCAGATTTGAAACTGCGACATATGCTGAGTTAGGTCCTTTGAATATACACTGCTACATTCATTTTGTTTTTTTTTTTTTATGTTTTTCTTTTTATTCTAAATTCAAAGTAAAATAGTAATGTTATTATATAATTGTGTAATCTTCATTATTATGTTGTTTTGACATATGTAACATGTATAATTTATATTATATTTCCTAATTAGCGATTGTATTTAATTAATGATATTATTTAAATGAAAAGTTTGTTTAGTGTATGTGTAAATAGAATAAATAAATAAAAATAAACATTCTCACATGCTGGAAACTAAATAGATCGCATAGAGGGCAAAGGGATTGTTAGTAATAGGGTGAAGTAGCCCCATAGCTAGCGTTACGACACCTACTCTGTTTATCTGCAATATTTTTAATAACTTCGCGGCACTACACTTTCACAATTCTATATATGTATTCTTTAGTGCACTTGTAAGTTACATATAAAATAATGGATTTATAAATGTTGTGAGCAAGGGTTTGTTTTTATACAAAAATAAACATTCTCACATGATGGAAACTAAATAGATCGCATAGAGGGCAAAGGGATTGTTAGTAATCACCCACAACACCAGCGGTGCAAGTGCTGCCCCCATACTCTTTTCTTGAAGGTTATGTTGTCGTATCGGTTCGAAATTGCTAAGTTGATTCAAAGAATGTTTATCTGCAATATTTTGGGATGAAATAACTGTGGCGCGTTGCGGTGGTGAAAACTACACTTTCACAATTCCTCAGAATATATGTATTCTAGAAGATGCACAGAGATGCAACATCTCTGCACAGTTTCAGTGGATCAAGCCGGACATATAAAATAATGGATTTATAAATGGTACTGTTGCCCACAGGTGAGAGTATTCCAAGGGTTTGTTTTTATTTAGGCGGTGTTCTGGCATGAAATATCGTCTCAGAATGAGCACTCCTAACTTTTTGGAAGCTATCGGCCTTCTCCTCCTGATGGAACTGGACGTCGCAAGATATATCAACGCCCAGTCCGCGACTTTTTATAGAAATGAGCAGATACGACAAACGGCGTCTTTTTTGCGGTAAACGCGCAGAGTATACTGTTTCGCCCACGATACCTCCCATGCGTTCTTTTTGCAAGCCAGTTCGAAATTTAAATAAAACCTTTTATTAGTTACCTCCTTGGTAGCCAAGTTTCGAAGTAAAAGGTCATTCCATTTTTAAATTACAGGACAGATATGAGTTTACATAGTAATTTATCTGGCCGCAAAACACGACAGATATGGATTTTCATACAACTATTGCCAGCCGCTGCCCGCATGTATCTGGCCAGTACGGCAATTTTGATTTATCTCTAAGAAGATTGTCAAAATAATGCTCACATTTCTAAGCATGTTTGAGAAAAAAATATTTCCATCTAATGTACGTACCCACATTCGTACAATAAATGATTTGATTTGATATAAATGTATTTACATACCCGTATCATCAGTGTCACTGTCGATGTCAACGCTCGGCCTCGGCTCGTCATTATCATCGTCACCATCGAACGCGTCGTCCGTGATGATCAGCCGCCCGTCGGGTGCCGTTCTGAATCCGCCGTCTTTCTTCTTCTCTTTTACTTCTACCGCTTTCTTCTTTTGATTCGGATCCGTTGCTGGTGAAAACATTAAAAGATAATCGAAAATCAGATAACAGGCCGATGGAAGGTGGTAAGTGTTGGACCCTGATGGAAAGTGGTAACTGCCCGCGCATGATGGAAAGTGGTAACCGTCAGACCCTGACAGAGTGGTAATCATCAACCATCACGACATTTTTCATGAGGCTACTGGGAACGGCTTATCCAAAGCCAGGGGACTACAGATATCTTAAACCGCAGGATATCGTTAAGGTAACACAAAGGATCTATAAAATGATGGTATAAGGCAGGGGGAAGCACAAAAGATCCCAATGGGTCGACGTGCAACGGCTTAGCTGACCCCATATGCGAATATAAGATAAGATAACCATCACGACAAATGTGCATGGTGTTAGTCGATCATGCACGGGCTTTTAACGACCATATAATTTTAGACATAGTATATTTAAATTAATACACTTAATGTTAACAGAGATTTAAAAGAGTAACTGTTGAGTTTTTCTTGTGAGCTCTTCTCAAGAGATAAAAACCTTCTAAACCCTACAGTAAATTAAAAAAAAAGACGATTTAAAAGTGCTTGTAAACAAGCATATTAAGATAACTTGAATTTGACCCCTGATAGAATGTGATAGTCGACAGCCCTAGATGGGTTTTTTTATACAGCTTTGAATGGCAAACAAGCTGACGGCCCACCTGATATAAAGTGGTAACCGTCGCCTATAGACATGAGCAGTACCATGGACATAACAGAGTACACTGTTTTGCCCATGATACCTCCCATGCGTTGCCATTCCTGAGGACTCAGGTGTTATTCCTCTGTACCCTGTAAATTTACGCCATATCCCACCCTTCAAACCGAAACACAGCCATGCAAACACAACTGCTTCACGGTAGAAACACGAATGGGACAGAGGTATCCAAGCAAACGACTTTTGTATAAAGTCTCCCTCTGGTACAATGGTAAGCGGTAACCTTACCAGTTATTACAGGAAAGTGACAGTTAGTAATGAGGTCTAACTGCCCCATTGTTAGTAATAATTCCTATTAGGTTGACCTCTATGCAGTTCCCCTGAAAACCATTGTGGTTAATTCTTGTTCAATTAAACAGGATGGGAAAACCTGCTTTCATCCTCATCTATCATCTTTCAGTGGTGGCCTGTCAACAATAGCGTTGGTGAGTAGCCCATTCCATTATCATCCATTAAAAAAATACCCGTTATCTTCCTAGACGAGGACACGTCAGCCAAGTCGACAATATTTTCAGGATCGTCCTGGATCCACGCCTGGTTCCTGGCAGTGGCCTTGTTCTTCTTAACCTTCTGTCTGGGCCTCTCGTCCTCGTCGTCTAGGAACTCCATCTCCGAGTCTGAATCTTTGAGTATGTCTTCTAGGGTCTTCGATGTGCCCTTGATTGGTGTGTCCGTTTCGGAGTCACTTGATTGATCCCTGAAAGATCATTTCCGATTAATGATAATCAATAATTGGTCTTGCCCACAAAAGGATGGGGAGATGTGCCCAGCTGTGGGACTTATTGGATTCTAGTGGCAATAATAAATATTAGTAGAGAGAAAGAAATGTACTTATGTAAGAAATAAACCTTTGTAATGTTGCAATAGGAGTAAATGGTTTTGAAATACAACCAATTTGAGAATGAATGAATAAATATATATTTGCAAGAAACACGGCAACTATACAAATGTTAAAATAATAATAAATCCACATATATCGCCACATTAAGGCGTGCAACATTTAAAATACTTAAATATTTTGTACAAAAGTCGATTGCTTGGGTACCTCTGTCGCATTCGTGTTTCAACCATGAAGCAGTTGTATTTGCATGGCTGTGTTTCGGTTTGAAGGGTGGGATACGGCGTGAATTTACTGGGTACAGAGGAATAACACCTGAGTCCTCAGGCATGGCAACGCATGGGAAACAGTATACTCTGTTATATCCATGGTACTGCTCATGTCTATAGGCAACGGTTACCACTTTCCATCTGTTTCCCTGTAAATTCACGCCGTATCCCACCCTTCAAACCGAAACATAGCCATGCAATTACAGCTGCTTCACGGCAGAAACACGAATGGAACAGCGGTACCCAAGCAATCGACTTTTGTACAAAGTCTCCCTCTGGTAAGTAGTTAGGTAGTAAGGTAAGCTACATCAACAACCAACTTTTATATTACAAAAATTACGAAAGAAAAATTAACAGTATCAATTGTTACCACTCACTTCTGTCCATCCTTGATCCTCTTCCTTCTATTCTCCATCTTCCTTATATTCCTCAGTCTTCGCAGCATCACCTCGTCATTCACTAACTTCTCTATCGTGTCGGCGCCATACTTCCTCACCATCTTTGTAAGGAAGTAGCCTATCTCCAGCCGGGAGTGACGTTTGCAATCGTCAGACATTGTACAAAGGGCTTTGAAGATAATGGGCAGACTGCCAGCTAGCACTTCACTTGGTATCACTTTGGTGTAAACCTGAACAAAAAAAAAAACATTGATAACGTGGTCTTAGAGGCTTTGAAAGACGACAGCTTTAGGCTTAGATCATCATTAGGCATCATTATATCAGCCTTTAATTATACTCTGCTGAATGTAGGTCTCCCCCTATCGGGGGGATTTGCTAATAGTTGCCAATTTTGACAGCAGCGTTGGCAACTGCAGATAGGCTTTGATTTTTTAGGAGGGATGCTGCTGCCTGTCCCATGACCATTAAATTCCCTTAATTCCCTTTTACCAGAGGGAGACTTTGTACAAAAGTCGATTGCTTGGGTACCTCTGTCCCATTCGTGTTTCAACCGTGAAGCAGTTGTGTTTGCATGGCTGTGTTTCGGTTTGAAGGGTAGGATATGGCGTGAATTTACTGGGTACAGAGGAATAATATCTGAGTCCTCAGGAATGGCAACGCATGGGGGTATCATGGGCGAAACAGTATACTCTGTTATATCCATGATACTGCTCATGTCTATAGGCGACGGTTACCACTTTCCATCAGTTGGGCCGTCAGCTTGATTGCCATTCTAAGTTGTATAAAAAAAACGACATCCATGGGAAAGGAAGGGTTGGTCCATTCTATGCCGGGATCCTATATTCCTTCCGACCCCTTGTTCGATAGAAGAATAAGATTATGCAATTCTTGCGCATGCTCTTCAAAATGCAACCTATAGGACAAGGGCTTCTAAACTTTTAAAACAACAGAACACCCACCAAAAAACTTTTATTATATGGAACCCCATAGCAAACCATTACAAATCAAAGAGACTGTAATTTAAATACGAATATACACTTTTTTTTATACTACTTACAATGGCAAACAAGCTGACGGCCCACCTGATAGAAAGTGGTAACTGTCGCCTATAGACATGAGCAGTACCATGGACATAACAGAGTATACTGTTTCGCCCATGATACGCCCCATGCGTTGCCATTTCTGAGGACTCAGGTGTTATACCTCTGTACCCTGTAAATTCAGCCAAACCGAAATACAACCATGCAAACACAACTGCTTTACGGTAAAAACACGAATGGGACAGAGGTACCCTAAGCTATCGACTTTTGTACAAAGTCTCCCTCTGGTAATTATTATTATCTTATTTGAAATATTTAAAAAAAGAAACACTTTATTCTTTAACTTTTAATGTAAAAAAATGTCTACTTTAGGAATCATTACCACAGAACCATCAGATCAGTCTTTAACTATCCATTGCTGAATATAAGTCTCCTTCTGGCTTTTGCCAGTAGTTGCCACGCTTGGCAGGCGGATTGGCAACCATAGTTAAGCTTTGGAGGTGTTTTAAAAGGGACCCTGCTGCCCATCCCTCGTCCTCTCTAGTCGTAATCGGCTCTTACGACACCCACGGGAAAAGAAGAGGTGGCCTATACTATGTTTTTTTTATGGTTGAAAATGGTATGGTAACCCCGCCTGCGCTAACGGGATACGCTGGCGGAGCACCAGTGAAGGGTGATAGATGAGGATGAAAACAGGCCAGTTAGCCCATCATGATGAATTCATTAAGGAATCAACCATGATAGTTTCCAGGAGGAACCGCGAGGAGGTCGACCTGGTTGGGTATATTGCTAGCAATGGGATTCTCAGTCTCCATTACTAACAATCCCTTTCCCCCCGGCCTATTGCTATAGAATACTGTTAAAAAAATAACCTTAATGAAACTCAAAGAAGCGGCCACTATCTCCCTGTTGTTAGTTTGCATTTGCTCAGCCACTTTCTCCAGTAGATCCTGAACAGTCTCCAGGCCCATATCTTCGGAGAAATTGAAGAGTGCTGACGCGATCGAACGTAGGGTGGCGCTGACGATGCGGGGAAGAGGGGCAGACAGTCCTGATAGCAACAGTGATAAGAATCCGCGCATACCTGGTGAAGAATAATACTTGAATAATATTTGTATAATTAACAATTTTTAATAATTTAAATAGAAAATACATATTAATTACCGCATTATTTAAACTAATATTATATATGGATATATTATATTAAGTTTTCCTTTTTATTTTTCCTCTATTCAATAAGGCATCGCCTACTTATTTTTCTGTTTGCCAAATGGTAAACTGGTAGAGAACACCGTCCGGTGTTAAGTCCGCCAAATGTACATACAGTTTACATAAAATCACTGTGCATAAAGTTTAAATAAATTAAAAAATATATTTATATATATATATATAAATATGCCAATTTCAATCTGTCTATCCATGCAAAATCGGACTGGATTGCTAGTTAATAAAAATAATATTAATAAAAACCAACCTCCTTCTTGCGTCTTGAGCTTGTTACCAACACAACTGATAACGTTAAAGGCACACTGCCTGCATTTGGAATTGATGTCCTTCGTGCATACCACAGACTCTGCTACAGCGCTCTTCAGTAGCTTGCTGTCCGCGTTTACAGATGGCATCGCGTTAATTAAGTGCTCTATGCATCTGGAAATAAGGTTTTTTTTATCGTAACAACGATAATACAACGATAAATCTAAATAAAAAAAAAAAAGAATCGAAAGGTAAAGTCTTTGAAGTTGTCTTGAAAATATTGCTCCCAGCAATAAGACCGCCTTACTTTACTTATACAACTGTATCGTTACATCTATTGATGGGCCGTTTGGTTCCAGCATAGAATAGGCCATCCCTTACCTTCTCGTGGATGTCGTAAGAAGCGACAAGGGGAAGACGAGAAAATAATATTATTACAAAATAATTAACAAAAGCTACAAGTAAGAAAGAAAGAATTTATTAACAGAATCATGCGACTCACACGGTAACAAATGAAGCTAAGTATAATAATATAATTAAAAACAAAACAAAAATTCTCGACACCAGTGTTATTTTTTTTTATACAACTTAGAATGGCAAACAAGCTGACGGCCCACCTGATGGAAAGTGGTAACCGACGCCTATAGGCATGAACAGTACCATGGACATAACAGAGTATACTGTTTCGCACATGATACCCCCCATGCGTTGCCATTCCTGAGGACTCAGATGTTATTCCTCTGTACCTTGTAAATTCACGCCATATCTCACCCTTCAAACTGAAACACAGCCATGCAAAAACTGCTTTATGGTTGAAACACGAATGGGACAGAGGTATCCAAGCAAACGACCTTTGTACAAAGTCTCCCTCTGGCATGTCCTCTCCATCTACTATTTCTTGTACCATTTTGTTTAGTGACCAACTACCTTAACAATGTTACTCGAGTACTTACCTCAATCTGGCCGCTTTACTGCTATCAGCGACCTTGTTCAGTGACGTCATCAACAATTTCTTTACTTTCTTATAGTTGGCCGTCAGGAACTGCTTGCAGTTGTCTCTGTCACTCTTGAAGATCTCCTCTAGTATCCTGTAGGCTTTCTTGTGCTCCATTTCGAGTAACTTCGCCTTGTCTTTGTACCTAAAATTACAATGGAGTATAGAGTAAATCTTTAAAAAAAAAATTAAAATCTACCACAAAATTATAAAATATAGATAGACAGTCTTCATTGTTTCCTCTAAAAGATTACAGTAGTAAATTTATTATAAATACAAACAATTATTTATTTATGTACACTTTATTGCACCATTTATAAAATAGTAAATACATTTAACTGTAATAAGAAATGATACAAAAGGCGGCCTTACCGCTAAGCAATCTCTTCCAGACAACCTTTGGGTAGAGAACATTGAGAAAATAAAGAAAAATAAAGGGTAGGTGGTTATATATAATAATACTAATATAATAGATATTAGTACTATTATATATAAACAAATATATACAAAGATATATACATATATATGTATATACATATATATACATAAACAAATACATACATAAAATAAATACACAAACTTAAAAGTACACATACAACAGGAGAGTGACACTGGAAGATGAAGATAGAACATGGGAAAAAATAGTTACTTAAAGGGAGAGATAATGGGCTTTAACAGAGGTTTTGAAACTAGCGAGAGATTGAGCGCACCGAATAGAGGTAGGTAGTGAGTTCCACAGGCGAACTGCCTGTACAGTAAAGGAATTAGAATAAAAGGAAGTGGAGTGGAGAATTACAAGAAGTGATCAGTGAGAAAATAATGGGCGGCCTTACCGCTAAAAGCGATCTCTACCAGGCAACCTTTGGATGGAGAGGAGTAATTATAAACTAACTTTTTTTATGCAACTTAGAATGGCAAATAAGCTGACGGCCCACTTGATGGAAAGTGGTAACCGTCGCCTATAGACATGAGCAGTACCATGGACATAACAGAGTAACTGTTTCATCGGGTGTTATTCCTCTGTTTTTTCAAACCGAAACACAGCCATGCAAACACAACTGCTTTACGGTTGAAACACGAATGGGACAGAGGTAATACTTTTGTACAGTCTCCTCTTACATACATAAAACATAAACTTATGTTTACTATATAATCATTAAATAACTGATGGCCCACCTGATGGAAAGTGGTAACCGTCGCCTATAGACATGAGCAGTACCATGGACATAACAGAGTATACTGGGTCACGCATAATACTCTTTATGCGTTGACATTCCTAAGCTGTTATATATATATATTACCAGATCACTTGGAACTGATATATATATATATATATATATATATATATATATATATATATATATATATATATATATATATATATATTGTATATTTGAACAGACCAGTTCCTACTAAATGCACCCGTTCACGAGTATGACGGATGATTCAGCTATCGTTGTGTTCAACAATATTATAGGATTGGCTCACCTTAACTCATTCTTCTTTGTTTCCCCGCCATCTTCTTCCATCGCGTCCTTGTCCTTCTTTGCTTTTTTAAACTTCTTCGGATCTTCTAGCACCGTCTCGCAAAGAGGGTACACCCATTTGTCAAACAGTACAGCTATTTGATCGCTATCCTGGTACAGTACCAGCAGCCTGATGATGTCCAGAATGGACTCCCTTTGGAAATGATTGTCCTGTGATAACTCTAATTGCTGGAGAGCGTTCTTGAAGAGTTCCTCGCGGAGTCCTTGGTCACTTATTGTTAGATATACCTGTAATTTTATTACAATACTAGTTTTTGCCCGCTACTTTGTACGCGTGGCGTATTTAGGTAGGAAAACTAATGGAATAGATCACTTCTAGATGGCGCAACAAGATAAAATATGCACCAGATTTTAAGTTTGACTTTCAGGAACACAACATAGAAAACCACATTCAGTTTGGTGTAGTAGTTTTTCTATGCTGCCAGAGTAAACATATTATATACCAGACAGAGATAGACGGAGAGGGAGAGACGGAGAGAGAGGGAGATGGAGAGGGAAAGAGAGAAACGGAGGGAGAGAGAGAGAGAGACGGAGGGAGGGAGAGAGAGAGAGACGGTGAGAGGGAGAGAGAGAGACGGAGGTAGGGAGAGAGAGAGACGGAGGTAGGGAGAGAGAGAGACGGAGGTAGGGAGAGAGAGAGACGGAGGGAGGGAGAGAGAGAGAGAGAGACGGAGAGGAAGATTTAAAAAATATTGTTTTGGCTTCTATCACCTTTATTAAAATCGCTCACATCCATTTTTCTTAAATATCTCCTATCTTAAAATTTTATTATGTTAGTACGAAGGTACCTGTATAGTTTCCAATGCTGCCAGCCTCTGCCCTTCAGCGGTGCTGCCCTTCGCCGGTGTCATATATATGTTTAGCAATATAGGCAGGTAGTTCTTAGCAAACCTGGCCAGTTCCGCCCGATCCGCCTCGTTGTCGGCCGTACACGCGATCAGTTTGCGTAGCGCTTGCATTATGGACAGACGGAACTCCGGGTTGTCCTTTAATACGTTACCTGTAAAATATTATATATGGGTAAAAATTAAAATATCTTAGGATAAAAAAAAAATATTTTCCAAAACAGATATAGTAAATCAGTTGTAGTATATATAGAACTTTTTAAATAATCAGAAACATTCCAAATTTAATTATTTTTGAAAAATGACATATAAATGTGACTTTGTCAAACTACGTTACGAACATTCTTAATCGTTTTAGACTCTTTTTAATTTTAAACCCCATCGAGAACTCACCTAACACTCGTGCTACAGCCTTGAAATTCTCCTTAACATCTTGTGGGTTGTTACAGAAACTGGGCAACAGTGCCCAGAACTGGTTACAGAGTAGCTCGTACGTGTGCGAACCGGGCATGTCCTTGGCTTGAGACAGCTCCCTGGACCTCTTTCGGCAGAACGTTGCCATTTCTAGTATCTCCGTCGCGAAATACTTTATATTGGAATTGACTATCTTTTCTTTTAGGACGGGTAATAGCCAACTTCTGTCGAGGTTGATGCTCTCCGGCGAATCCCTCAGTGGTATATTTTTTAGGACGAATTCAGGACCCAGGGATTTGATCGCACAGCCGGTGGCGTATTCTACTTCTTTCTCGTTGTGGAAATTGTGGCTCTCGCGGCGATCGTTCATCTTTTTGAGTAGTGGGCCAAGGATATAGGCTACTTTTTCAGTACCAATCTGTGGGAAAAGTTAGCAGTGATATTTCAAATAATAATAATATAAATGTGAAAGGAAGTTTGTCTGTTACCTCATAGTGTTTTAATCAATTACTATGAAATTTGGTACACATATTTATTATCATTATTTCAGCCATTATCTGTCCACTGCTGGACATAGGCCTCCCCCATAGACTGCCATAAAGAACGGTCTTGAGCCACCTGCATCCAATGACTTTCTGCAATGCATTTGAGGTCGATATTCCATCTAATCGGGGGTTATCCTACATTGCGTTTACTCTATATGCATTGCTATTTTAATTGACTTATAGTTTGTTAAATAATTTATAATAGCTTGTGTGTGTGTGTGTGTATGTGTGTGTGTGTGTGTGTGTGTGTGTGTGTGTGTGTGTGTGTGTGTGTGTGTGTGTGTGTGTGTGTGTGTGTGTGTGTGTGTGTGTGTGTGTGTGTGTGTGTGTGTGTATGTATGTGTGTGTGTGTGTGTATGTATGTATGTGTATGTGTTTATGTGTGTGTGTGCTTATAGCGTTAGCGATAGTGAAACTACCGTTCCATTACCACCCATAAAAAATCATTTAGAAAAACATGTATGTAGGTAGGTTTATTGAAAAATTAACATATTTATATATCCTCGCGGCTAGTAAAAGCTAGTATAATAAGGATATGGCATACCTCAAAGCATACAGCTAATGTCATGATAACATGCTTGATGGCATGGTTGAACGGGTTGTCTAGTCCTGTGCCAATGGTCTTGTATATGGATTCCACATGTGGTTTGTATTTAGGAAAGTCCTCGGAATCAATCGCTAGCTTCACACAGTCCAGTAGCACGGCCTGTGAAAAAAATATATAGAAACACAGAAATGAGATTCATTCGTAAAAAATATAACTGTAGTTTCTTAACTAATATTAATATTACAGTTTTATAAGGGTACAGTAGTTGTGGTTTTAGAACTGGGCTCCTAAATAGGTTCAGATAATAACCTGTGTTACATATATCATACATCCCTGGGTCAAATTATCTCACCTAAACAACAAATGCTTAAAGAGATACAAAAAAGAATAAATAACAGTTGGTCTCGTTGTTGGTCACCAAAAGAAATAATGAAAAATAAGTCAATACCAGTATCTGACAAGAAAAAAGTTTATAACAGTCGCATGCTGCCGGTGCTAACATACGGCTGTCAAACATGGGCTTTAACAAAACAAACTATACAGAAATTAAAAGTATGTCAGCAAGGAATGGAATAGAGTATACTTGGCATCAGATTGAAGAACAAACAGCCTCACTGATATTCGAAAACGAACTGGCATTACAGATGTGACTCATAAAATAAAAAAGCTCAAATGGCGATGGACTGGGCACATCATGAGGTCATCAAAAAACAAATGGATCCAAGATTTAATTGAGTGGTATCCGCGTGTTGAAAAAAGAAACCGAGGTAGACCAACAAGAAGATGGGAGGATGATTTGCCCAAAGGCTGGAGACAAGCTGCAAGGAATCGTTAACGATGGAGAAATATGGAGGAGGCCTATGTTCTAGAACAATCTGAAAAATAAGATGTTGCTGATGTCAACATTAATTATTTATACATATTTACAATTTAAAAAAAGAATCTGTAATTCAGGAATAAAGGCTATTTTTATTTTAATAACCTGTGTTAAGGGGCAAAGGGAAATTAATATTGATGTAAAGTAACTACAATAAGGTTGTATACATAATTTATCAATTAAAAATAAACAGAAACTAAAATACAATATCTTACACATTGGTAATATAGTATATATATTAAGCTGCATCAAACAATATTTGTTCCGTTTCCTCATATTCCATAGAAATATATATATAAAGCAAACAAGGTGACGGCCCACCTGATGGAAAGTGGTAACTGTCGCCTATAGACATGAGTAGTACCATGGACACAACAGAGTATACTGTTTCGCCCATGATACCCCCCATGTGTTGCCATTCCTGAGGACTCAGGTGTTATTCCTCTGTACCCAGTATGCAATACGTACCTTCAACGCATTGGTGGACGCCGAGGTGATGTCCGCCACATCCGACAACCACAACTCGGTAACACAGATGTTCACAAACATTGGCAGATTCGGCATACACATATTGAGATCCAAACTGTATATAGAAACAGGCAGATTAATATGTGTAAATGTAATTTCTTTTTAAATAACTAATCTATATTAATATTATAAAGAGGTGAAATCTGTGAATTTGGATGTTTGGGATAATTTTCGGTACTACTGATCCGATTTTGAATTTTTTTTTTATTTTTAGAGGAGGAGGATATATATATATTATTAGTATTTGAAAAAATCGGCAAACAAAATATAATAGAGACTAAGAATTCCATTACTATTTGTGTGCTGTAAGTAATGCAAATAAAATATCTATGTCTCTCAAACAGGTCGAATAAATTATATATTTATTTAAAAAAATAACCTCCAAATGGTGACCCATCACTCCCACATACCATCGTGAATAGTGAACATACAGCATACTGCCCTGGCTGGATTGTTAGTTAGTTATTATATTTGCCAAGTATATTCATCACGATGGGCTAACAGACCTGTTTCTTTTCATTCTCACCCATCACCCCTCACTGGTGCACCGCCAGCGTATACCGTTAGAGGTTACTGTGCTATTATCATCCATTAAAAAAAAGAGACCTGGCGAGGCAGCAGTAGGTCTGCTGCAGCACGGCGGCCCAGGCCAGGCCCTGCGCGGCGTCGGCGGCGGGCGGTCGTGCGGCCAGCAGCGCCCGCGCCAGCTGCGCGGCGAGCGGCGCGGGCAGGTTGCTGCGGCCGCGCGCCGACACCAGCGCGTGCAGCGCGTGCAGGCAGCACGTCTTTATGTACACGTTGTTGTGCGTCATCAGGGACAGGACGGCCTCGCAGCACGACTGGAACATCAATGGCAAGGTTACATTTACTGGAACATAAATATGGGATTGATATGTCTGTTATGTTATGTCCATGGTACTGCTCACGTCTATAGGCGACGGTTACCACTTTCCATCAGGTGGGCCGTCAGCTTGTTTGCCATTCTAAGTTGTATAAAATAAATCTTTACAAATATGCGTCTTTATAGCTTGTTTTTCTAAATCTTTATGTCATCCGCAACAATACAATGATACAGCAGAAGGGTAACACATACATCCCTCTCTCTCTCGCACACTGTCCCTCTCTTTCACTTAAAGATGCGATCGTGTATTCGTTTTAAATAATAATTGCGTTCCAATAATTTTTTTTTCAACGAAAATAATTCTACATACATATATACTTATTATAGGTCACAATTTGTCATCTGCTAGCATACATAATACATTGATATAATACACACACGCAATCGCGCACGCACACACACACATGCGCGCACGTAAACACAAGCACATGCACATATATGGGAATACTTGTAGAAACATCACTGATATATGTTATGGCTGTGTTTATTATTTATGTGTTTTAGGCACTGTATGTTTTCCTAGTAAAGTAAAATTAAAATACTAACACGGAGAAAGAATGGAAGAATGTACTACTAATATTAAATATCCTATTAATATCAAAGTTTATAAAGATGTTTGGATGTTTGTTTATCTCTTAATGACGCTTAAAAATTTGGACACATTCGAATTTGACAATTAGCTGACAAAAAGTTTACCCGTTTTTGAGACTCAATGCTGTATCTATATAATCTAAGAGCTATATATATATATATATATATATATATATATATATATATATATATATATATATATATATATATATATATATATATATATATATATATATATATATATATGAGCCTTAACCCTTCTTTGCATGATTTTTTTTATTGGTGAAATAAGTCAAGGTGAGGTCATGTTCAAATTAAAGGAAAAATGAATAACAAAATAAATGTGACAGCTATGTTTTTTTTCCGCAATGAACATTAAAAAGGTATCCAGACACGATCAACTTAAAGTGAACTTGGTCTTTTATATAATTTTTGGACATTCAATGTTATGATGGAAATTCCCACCGTTATGCAAAGAAGGGTTAAAAACGGATCAATATTTATATATAACAATAATATATATTTATAAGGTATATACCTTTATATATTCCTTGCTAAATATTGGCAATATATCGCGGAGCATTGTCAGGGTATGCAATACGGAGCGATGACCCGACAGGAGGGCTTCCGCTTTGATTTGCGACAAGCAATATTCCGCCACGCGGTTCGACGCAGGGTGCACTTTCGGTACCTGTAAATATAAACGTTAACACGTTGACATTAAACTATATGATTATATCTATATGTATATAACAACATTCCAAACCTCCTCGCGGTTCCCCCTGGAAACTATCATGGTTAATTCCTGATGAATTCATCATGATGGGCTAACTGGCCTGTTTTCATTCTCATCTATCACCCTTCACTGGTGCTCTGCCAGCGTATCCCGTTAGCGCAGGCGGGGTTACCAAACCATTTTCACCCATCAAAAAAACATTCGGGACCCATACTAAGGTTGCCTGGAAGAGATCGCTACATAGCGATAAGGCCGCCCATTTTTGCCTAGCTTTTATATTTATGTAATTAATTATAAATTTTGTATGTGTATATCTTGTTATTTTTTTAATCTGTATCATTCTTCGATTAAAATGATTATGTAATAAAAAAATATTTATTTATTTATTCATTAAAAATAAATATAACATTATAACAGCAAAAGCAGGAATCCATAATCATAAGAAATAAGAAACACTGATATTAGGAAGAAAACCAAAATAAAAGATGCTCTTCAGCATAGTATGAAACAGAAGTGGAGATGGGCAGGTCATATAGTGAGGTACAAAGATAAAAGGTGGACTCTCCAAACAACAAAATGGCGAGGTCCAGCAGGAAAAAGAAATGTTGGAAGACAAAGAAAGAGATGGGCAGATGACATAATAAAGATAGCAGGAAAAAACTGGACAAGTATTGCTATAGATAAGAGAAGTGGAAAAAGATGGAGGAGGCTTTTACCCTTGGGGACCACGGAAGTGGATAAAAAGCTATAATAATAATAATAAAACAGCAAAAGCCAAATCAATGTTATAAACCTAGTGTGCTAACATATAAAATTATAATAAATGTATTTAACAGAGAGAAAAAATTTACTGATTGCATTTTTGGCATTAGTATGGATCACTAATCACCCCCTGATAGTTATTTTGGTAATATATTTCATGTACAGAATTGACCTCTCTACAGATTTATTATAAGTATAGATATAGATTAGTGTGTATAACAATAAAGTATAAAATAAATAAATAAATGAAATGAAATTTATTTGTTATAAAAGTAGTATATAATAGATGGTATAGTTATTTATATTATATAGATCTCACTTTTAGTCTTTACAGACATGCAAATACATATTTGAATTAATCTATTATATTATTATTCTTTATATAATTCAATTAAAGTTACATATTATACATTTATTATTATTATAAAAGTAATGAAATTATTGTTATAAAACTGTCATATATTCATGACGAATGTTAAAATTATATCAAGTTTGTATTGTCAAAATATTATGTTTTCTAATAATTATAGTTCAACATCGTTTATATAATCAATTATTGAATAGTAGCATTTGTCAATTAATAAATTAAATAATTGTATTTTAAATTGTGTCGATGGCAATTCCTTTAAAGGGGTCGGTAGTTTGTTGTATATCCGGATACATATAAACTGGTACTATAATTTCAGATAAGGTAAACAGAGATGTATCTAATATTACAGTAATGAAATGTAGTAATTATTTACCTTAATTTTCTGATCTTCCGAGGGAATCATGAAGCAGCTGGCTCGCAGTATAGACGTTACAGCGTGCTGAGCTGCTTTGCGTACCTAAAACAGTTTTCTGTGTAATTCTGGGGACATTTTTAACATAATTTGCTGTAGGTTGAGATTTCAGCTACGCGAACTTGTATATTTTATTTTATTACATTATTGTTGGAATTTCGAGAAATCTTTAGTAAAATAGGATTTTATTATGTTCACATGTAACAAACATACATAACATGGGGGGAAAGGGATTGTTAGTAATGGAGACTGAGAATCCCATTGCTAGCAATATACCCAAGCAGGTCGACCTCCTCGCGGTTTTCCCTGGAAACTATCATGGTTAATTCCTGATGAATTCATCATGATGAGCTAACTGACCTGTTTTCATTCTCATCTATCACCCTTCACTGGTGCTCCGTCAGCGTATCCCGATAACGCAGGCGAGGTTACCGTACCATTTTCACCCATCAAAACAAAACATACATAACAATACTAGTTTTTACCCGCGACTTCATCGTGACGAAGATATGTTTACTGACTGAAATAAAAAATAGTGTATATCGTTGTCCATCTCATATAGTATTTTTTTTTTATTGTTAGGGAGACAAACGAGCAAGAGGTCCATGTGATGGAAAGTGGCTACCGCGTGTATATGTGTACCAAATTGCATAGTAATTAATTAAGCTGTTAAGGCACCATAACGTAAGAAACAAACTCACTTTCACATTTGTAATATTAATAAGAATTGCCAAAAATAAATGTAATAACTTATAAATATAATTTAAAGTTCATATTTTTTCTTTAAGCATCTTAGAATAGCAAACAAACTGACGGCCCTCCTGATGAAAAGTGGTAACCGTTGCCTACAGACATGAGCAGTACCATGGACATAACAGAGTACACTGTTTCGCCCATGATACCATATATCAGTTGCCATTACTAAGGAGTAAGGTTATTCCTCTGTACCCTGTAAATTCACGCCATATCCCACCCTTCAAACTGAAACAGAGCCATGCAAACACAACTGTTTCACGGTAGAAACACGAATGGAACAGAGGTATCCAAGCAACGACTTTTGTATAAAGATCAGTTACTTTTATATGTATAGAGTATTAATATTATAATCAAGAGGTAAGAGGGAGACTTTGTACAAAAGTCGTTTGCTTGGGCACCTCTGTCCCATTCGTGTTTCAACCGTAAAGCATGCATGCATGGCTGTGTTTCGGTTTGAAGGATGAAGTGAGATATGGCGTGAATTGACATGGTACAGAGGAATAACAACTGAGTCCTCAGGAATGGCAACACATGGGGGTATCATGGGTGAAACAGTATACTTTGTTATGTCCATGGTACTGCTCATGTTTATAGGCAACGGTTACCACTTTGTATCAGGTGGGCCATCAGCTTGTTTGCCATTCTAAGTTGTATAAAAAAAAACTAAAAAATGTATATAAAAATAAGGCCTTTGATAGTCAGTTCTAACTGTATAACCTTTTAAGGACATGATGTAATGTAATAGATAATCAGAACTATAAAAATAATACTAACCTTAGGTTTCGAGTGTAGAGTAAAAGCCAATACAGAGTCGAACACTTTCATAGTAGACGAATCACTCCACAATGCATGTTCCTGAGCTCTGAGCAGCACAGACAGACAGCCTATGGTACTTCGTAACAGCGTACCATTTTCTGTTTGTTCATTATTCTCTAATATGTTGGTGAAAATTGTTGCCGATTCTGAGAATTGTTTACGAAGAACTGCTTGAGGTACAGACTTTATCCCCATAGATAGTAATGACAGGGTTGCCACCAAACTTTCTTCGCCTTCGGAAGCTTTTAAAGTCTCCATCTGTAATAAATAAATATTGCTAAAATAAAAACTACAAAACTGATAGACATACATTTTTTTTTTAAAACAATACACATTTTGATGAATTGACATTTTTAATAGATCATATCCTAGATTAACACATAGACATAATTTTAATCTTAACCCACACAGGTAAAACTAAGGCAATAAAACTAGTGAAATAAATGTTAAATTAAGATGGCTATTGAAACCTATGTATTCTCACCAATGCAGCAAAATATTCAGTGGTAGTTTCCTTTCCTCCTTGCTCCTTGATCACTTCAGTGACGGCTGCTAACACAGCCAGCATCTCTTTGTGCACTGCGTTGTTTGAGTCAAACTTCTTCAATAACCTGTTTAAAAGGAAAACAACAAAAATCCATAGATATGAATAGGAATACTTAAAAGATAATTAATATATTATAAACAGAAATTTTCAATAGTTAATTTGGTATGAACAGAATTTTTCAAAAGTCCAATTGCTATAAATAGGAATTTCACACAACTATGATTACTATAGATACATTTTTTTTTATACAACTTAGAATGGCATACAAGCTGACGGCCCACCTGGTGGAAAGTGGTAACCGTCGCCTATAGACATGAACAGTATCATGGATATAACAGAGTATACTGTTACACCCATGATACCCCCATGTGTTGCCATTCCTGAGGACTCAGATGTTATTCCTCTGTACCCAGAAAATTCACGCCATATCCCACCCTTCAAACCGAAACACAGCCATGCAAACACAACTGCTTCACGGTAAAAACACGAATGGGACAGAGGTACCCAAGTAATCGACTATTGTACAAAGTCTCCCTCTGGTAATTTATTATTATAATAGAACCTCTAGACTACTGGTGAACTGCTCTATTATTTATTTTAAATGTTTATTATTTATTGTGCATATACATACATATCTGTCATGCCTGTTTTCAATTTTTTTTAATGGTTGACAATAGAATGGTAACCCCGCCTCCACTAACAGTCTACGCTGGCAGGGCACCAGTGATGATAGGTGACAACAAAAAAGCAGCCTATTGTGATGAATTCACTTGTAATAGAAAAATAATAGTTTCCTGGGAGAATGGTATGCAGGTCGACCTGACTCTGTATTACTAACAATGGGGTTACTAATCCCCATTTTTAACAATCCATTATCCCACCACCTATCTCCTATTAGGGTAAGCGGAAACAATATGTGTACATATCTTTTACCTTAACTAATCAAGTACAATAGATGTCCTCGAATTGAGAGCCTGGTGATCTGCAAGACAGGTTATCCTAGTACTGACACCAGTCTCTCACAAAGATTGTTTTAAATTGTAACTTATGTAGTTGTAAGTTTTATTATATTGTTTTTTTTTGTGTGAGAAATAATTAAAAAATAAACCATATTATTTATGATATTTTAACAGTTGTGATTTAAATAGCCATTTAATGAAAAAGCCAATTAAATTTTGGAGTGAAATCTGAATCATCACTCTTTATCTCTAAAATTAATATTTTAATTTTGTTTATTTCCAGCAAAATTACAGCAAAATGATTGTTCTAAGTTTTTAATATATTGCTCAGAACTCCCTTCTGTTTAATTTACAATGGTACAAAATATAACAGTTTTGCTAAACTTTCAAATTAAAATTGTCAATTTAGAGGTGGATCAGAATGAACCACAATATCTCAGGTCTATCTTTTGATATATATTGTTTTCAATATATATTCATTTACCATTTGTCTAAAGAGACTAGTGTTTACTTACTTGCTAAAACTAACATTAGAACACTGGCTCCAATCAGAGGCAAATGTTTGGAAAGTCCTAAATGTTCCTGACTTCATTGACCCTGTGTATTCACTTTCTGATCCCTCATCGCCAGATTTCATGGACATATTTTCAAATTCCTTGGCAATGGTCAATTCCTTTTCAGCCTCCGACTTTTGTTTACCAGTACTGTGGCCATACGTGATCATAGCATCGTGTTTTAAAACAGCCTGCTGAGTTAAACCCGTATTGCCTAAAATAAGAGAAAAATAAACTTATAGGTTAGCATACGATTTTATTTACATGGAATGGAAAATACCTACAAGTATTTTAATTTTAGAGAGAAAAATTATTAAATGAATTAGGTACTAATTATTGATTAAACATACCCAAATTTTCCTGGAAAAACCGGGATTTTGCCATCTCTCTATATTTTTGAAGCTTTGGATTCGAAGTAGAAGATTGCCCTTTTTGCCATCTTTTTCCCTTAGTTTTACCTTTCAGTTTGGACCTGAATTTCCCCATATTTTCTTGTTTTTGAGATTATTTCCACATGAAAAATAAAAATATATCGCACGTGGAGTTCGAAGAAGTTATATTTTTGTCATGAAGGTAGCTACGAGTTGGTTATCAAAATGACATTTTATCAAGGATACCAATATTCAACATAAATAAGTGAATCATTTTGAAAGACCTAAATTGATACGTAAAGCCTACAAATTAATGCATACTTTAATATGCATAACACATTATTCTTTTAGTAAACAGTACACTTTTATTTTATTTTAATATTTGTTTTTAATTAAATAATAAAAAATAATAAAAATAAATATAATGTACTTCTGCTAAGCCAACTGTTCTTAACTTCTCTTTCTATACTACATACATAGACTAAGAATAGCACCAGCGATTTCTAACCACGCATAAATTACGCTGGCCGTCACAGTATACAACTACGTTCACTGTGTTGGTAAGGAACGTTTAGGCTTCGATAATTTTCTTTTCATTCACCTCCGTTCTTGTTTCATTGACGTTTTTCTTGTTTGTAAATAATAAATGCTGGAAATAGTACGCAATGTGAATTTACACGCATTCCTCTATCAAGTGTATATTACGTAAACGTTGGGCATCGATGTGTAAATAATTGAAGGCAATTGTTCTATCATAACCTGTTGTTTTGATATTCCACTAGTACATTGAAGCTATGAGAGGATAATGCCGCCGTTTAGAAGGAAGAAGGCGTCCAAATCTTTCCCTGTTAAAGTGTGTACATTGGATGCCGAACTCGAGTTCAACCTTGAGGTGAGAAGATTTATAAAGATTACATCTCATTCCATCATTATCTGTTTGGTACGCTAATTAGGTTAAAAACAATACACGCTCCTGTTGAGTCATGCCATTGGGCTGCTTTGTAAACTCGTAAATTGATATTAACAACTGTACTATTTGATTTACATGGTGTAAATTACATTAACTATCCATGTTACACCTACATTCCATTGTACTCTATACAAGAGTATAGAGATATGTTCACAGTTATCTAATTTTTTTAGAATAATGTCATAATTATTTTGGTACACTATTCTTCCAAAATAGGGGTATATGTAGGTAGAGAGAAAGGTTTTTAGTAATTTGTATATGCTGGTGGAGCACTAGAGAATGGTGCTAAATGCAGATGAAGTCAGGTCAATAAGTATGTGTGTAAGATACATTTACTAAGATTCACTTATTAACAATTCCTTCTCTTCAGAGTAAAAAGTTAGTCCCTTATAATTTCCTTTCAAAAGAAATCACTTTAGATGTTTAGTTTGGGGTGTGTGGTGGTAAAATTAAAGGCGTAAGTGGATAAAAAAGGTGATGTTAACAAACTTAATATAGGTATTGTTCAAAGTATAAAATATTGAAGTTGCCATATTTCGTAATAAAATTTATTCATTTATAGCCTTTTTATACAATTATCAATGTTTACAATAATAGATTCCTATCTTTTTTTTATACAACTTAGATTGGCAAATAAGCTGACAGCCCACCTGATAGAAAGTAGTAACCGTCCCCTATAGACATGAGCAGTACCTTGGACATAACAGATTATACTGTTTCGCCCAGGATAACCCCCATGCGTTGCCATTCCTGAGGACTTAGGTGTTATTCCTCTGTACCTTATAAATTCACACCATGTCACACCCTTCAAACCGAAACACAACCATGCAAACACAACTGCTTTACGGTTGAAACACGAATGGGACAGAGGTACCCAAGCAAACTACTTTTGTACAAAGTCTCCTTCTGATGAACCTATATACCCTATCGTGTATCATTTTCAGCATTTCTTGGCATATAGGATTCCTTTAGCTTTTTACACCTATTTGGGTTAAGTCTAAGTAAATTAGTAACTAAATCAATTTTAGTAATAGGTAACCTGTTCATATGTAATGGGATTGATATGTCTTAAGACAAATATCTCAAAAATTAAATGGAGTTAAAACTAATGCTCTTATTGTACAATCTTGCAGTGGCGTGCAACTGGTCGTGATCTTTTCGATCTAGTATGCAGAACTATTGGCCTGAGGGAGACATGGTTCTTTGGATTACAGTTCGAAGACACAAAACACTTTATAAGCTGGCTGAAATTGGATAAAAGAGGTTTGTTTTATTACCTTTTTGTATACATGTATATTATTTATTTATTTATTCATTAGTGCATATATGTGTACATGGTGGGCTTAATGCCAATAGCATTCTCTCCCAGTCAATGCCATAGGGTAGTGTCAGAATACTCGAATGCGGTACTAGTAATTATTGATATACATACATACTAAAATTACATATATAAACAAATAAATATATATGAATAACAAATGTACTTACACATATATGACATATACTATATTATACATGAAATTGAGAATAATATAAAGTACTTACTGCTCGGATAAAGTAAAAAAGTGAGTATGAATTTGTTTTAAAGAGGGTTTAGTCGGTAGTCTCTTAATGGCATCAGGAAGCGTGTTCCAGAGTCGTATAGAATGTAGGAGAAAAGAATTTCAAATGAAACCAGTATGGTGAAAGGGGATAGATAGTTGGAGAGTATTACTGGAACGAAAATTTCAATAAGGTACTGGAATTTGTTGCTTAAGTAGTTAGCAGTGGGTTTCGAAGAAGAGTATTGTTTGTATTGTATAATTTTACTCAAATTATGAGGATAACAATTGGAGGACTCAAAAATATGAAGTTTTATTAAAACTAATTTAATTCTATTAATAAAAGTTATAATATAAAATTCCCTATATTTAATTATAATTTAAATCATTGCCCAGTTCAAAGTGTGAACCTGGAGTGAGTTTTTAAGTGGTCACGTAGACCAGCCTCGTGCTGCAGCGCCAGCAATTATCTAGTTAAGCATTTACTTTATTTACAAGAGTTTTGAACAGGATGTGGCATCAGTCGTCTCGTTAGTGGACTGCTATGCAACTCCCTTGCTTTTGTATGTGTGATCAGGATATGTTCACCGATTGGAAAAAAGTAGCCTATGTTCTTTTCCATCCCATATAGTGTCAAATTTCAATATAGTGTATGGTTGAGCCATTAAAGCTCTAACAGGTAAGGGACAAAACAAAAACACTTTCACATTTATAATTTTTAAATTTATTTCAATATTACATCTGGAATCAACAGCTTATATCTAAAATAATTATAAAAATATTATGTTTACACCGTACATTAGCCAATTACAGATTCCCAATTTGTATACCAGACAATATTACGCTTATTTTTGGAGAGTAGGTTAATAATAATAAAGATAGTAAGGATTAAGTTTAAAATGAGACTTTTAAATATTCATCATTCATTCTTTTACATGTCATTTGGCTTACATGACAAAGACTCCAGTGCGTCTCATTTAATTTTCAACCATATCATATAATATTGTGCAATTATTGCATGATGTTATTGTACTAAATACTGTACAAAATATCATTAAATTGAGAATTTCCTCGTTAACTTTTTTTAATTTAATAACTACCGATTTAACTTATGTGTAGTTAGATCGAAAAATCTCGACTAGTTTCGGAATCGATTCGTGATCTTTAGTCGTTAACGACTGTGACGCGAGCACGAGCCTGACTGTATGCCTCGGTCCGCTGAGCGCGAGCTGTAAGCGCTCGCAGCATCGTCACAGATAAGAAAGACGTCAGATAAGAGATCTTCCTCTACTTGGCTAAAAATTTGTCTCTGGAACCCTGGCTTATTTTCTTTATTCCAGTACAAGATCAGTGCGTCTCCCAAATGCCTGGCACTCCGTTCATGCTGCTCTGCAAGTTGTACCCCGAGGATGTGGCCGAAGAGCTGATCCAGGAGGTGACCCAGCACCTCTTGTTCCTGCAGGTGAAGCAGGCCATACTCAGCATGGATATATACTGTCCGCCGGAGGCGTCAGTGCTGCTGGCCAGTTACGCTGTGCAGGCTAAGGTATTTTTTGTTAGTTTCGCATTATATATATTTTTTTTATTTATTAATTTTTTTAAATTGATAAAATCTTAGAGTGTTACAGGTGCAAAACTCAACTATATCTCCCCAGTGTCGGATGGACACCTTGGATGGTCACGGATGGTGACCTTTTGGACAAAAATAATATTAGACAGTCAGCAATTCTTAGTATTGCTTCTGTTTATTTTAACATTCTGGACATTCACTCGGTTTGCTCATTGTTATACCGAGCTTTTTCGCCTCCATCTATCTAGATATATTGAGTGTGAGTTGGTCAAGATACTCGATAAATTACAGCTATGTCACCTTCAAACATCATCCTGCAGTATTTTGATATATTCCTAAAACTGCATATATGTCATATTACACATTTTTTTTTATACAACTTAGAATGGCAAACAAGCTGACGGCCCACCTGATGGGAAGTGGTAACAGTCGCCTATAGACATGAGCAGTACCATGGACTTAACAGAGTATACTGTTTCGCCCATGATACCCCCCATGCGTTGCCATTCCTGAGGACTCAGGTGTTATTCCTCTGTACCCAGTAAATTCACGCCATATCCCACCCTTCAAACCGAAACACAGCCATGCAAATACAACTACTTCACGGTAGAAACACGAATGGGACAGAGGTACCCATGCAATCGACTTTTGTACAAAGTCTCCCTCTGGTAAATTATGTTACATGTTCATATGTAAGTAGTCACGGCATAGAATGGACCACACCTTCTTTACCTATGGGTGTCGTAGGAGGCGACTAAGGAGGGCGAGGAGTGGGCAAGAGTGTTTCTCTTAAAACACCACCAAAACCTAACTGCGGTTGTCAACCTGCCTGTCAAGCGTGGAAACTTTGCAAAACCTCCACTTTGGGGGAAGGTCTAAGTTCAGCAGTGGATAGTTAAAGGCTTATATAGTGATGGGGACCTTGTTCCCATGTAGTCTCTGTACATGATTAAGTGCAGAAAGCAAGAGATGTATATAGGGACAGAGGTCTTTGGCATTATGTTCTGTCTGCGTACCCCGCAAGGGACTTAGCGTGAAGATATATAGACAGATATATGTTCACGTGTAATCTATGTGTTTACAGTACGGTGATTATGACGAGAATGCATACAAACCAGGCATGCTGGCCAGCGAGGATCTGCTGCCGCAGAGGGTGATCGACCAGTACCAGATGACACCAGAAATGTGGGAGGATCGCATTAAAATATGGTTAGATTAAACATATAATTCAAATACTGCTAGAGGACTACACATGGTGGAAGGCATTAGGGAAGGTCTATGTCCAGCAATGGATAGATAGAGGTTGCAGTGATGATGATATTGTTGTTTAAATATAAAAAAATGATTAGAGGACTGTCATCATTGTGTTCTCTTTTATTTGATATTTATATGTTGTATTTAACATATATATATATATATATATATATATACACATATATATATACATCTCACTATATATATATATATATATATATATATACACATATATATATATATATATATATATATATATATATATATATATATATATATATATATATATATATATATATATATATATGATGGAAAGTGGTAACCGTCGCCTATAGACATGAGCAGTACCATGGACATAACAGAGTATACTGTTTCGCCCATGATACCCCCCATGCGTTGCCATTTCTGAGGACTCAGGTGTTATTCCTCTGTACCCTGTAAATTCCAGCCCATCCCTCTACCGTTATGTTCCCTTAGCCGTCGTTTACAACATCCACGGGAAGGGAAGGGGTAGCCTATTCTATGCCGGGACCGCACGTCGCTCATTCCTTATTTTTCCATACAATTTTCATCTTTCTCAGGTACGCCGATCACAAAGGCATGTCGAGAGATGAAGCGGAAATGGAGTATTTGAAGATAGCACAGGACCTAGATATGTACGGTGTTAACTACTTTGCCATAAATGTAAGTAAATATTGTATCTACCGATGTATTATTTGGTAATGCATTATGCTTATATTATGATTATATTGTATTTTTTTTTTATTCAACTTATAATGGCAAGCAAGCTGACGGCCCACCTGATGGAAAGTGGTAACCGTTGCCTATAGACATGAGCAGTGCCATGGACATAACAGAGTATACTGTTTCGCCCATGATACCCCCCATGCATTGCCATTCCTGGGGACTCAGGTATTATTCCTCTGTACCCTGTAAATTCACGCCATATCCCACCCTTCAAACCGAAACACAGCCATGCAAACACAACTGCTTCACGCTTGAAACACGAATGGGACAGACGTACCCAAGCAATCGACTTTTGTACAAAGTCTCCCTCTGTTGTATTGTCTAACCCCACGGTATTCTTCATGTCTAAATGACCAGGCGACGGTTACGGTGGGCCGTCAGCATTAGAGTTACTTTTTTAGGCATTTTGAATGCCTTCCCCCTTTAAATACGCCTACGACCATCAACTTGGTTGCCATTGTAATCGTATAAAAAATATGTTAATACAGCTGTTTAGCGTCATAAACAAGATTGAAAGTGTTACTCATATAAATAGTTGTTATTTATTTTTTATATATTAATTTTTATATTAATATATTTTTCAGAATAAAAAAGACACCGACCTGTACCTAGGTGTGACGGCATTAGGCCTCAACATATACGAGAAGGATAATAAACTGACCCCGAAGACGACGTTCCCGTGGTCCGAGATCAAGCATATATCCTTCGACGATAAGAAATTCGTGATCAAGTTCGTCGAGAAGACCGTCACCAATTTTATATTCTTCTCGCCTAAAGGAATGAATAAATTGGTAAGTTGCTATTACATGTCTATTTAAATTAAACTTAATGATAAGATTGGTTACATTATCATTAATAAAAACTGCTTCACGGTTGAAACACGAATAGGACAGAGGTACCTAAGCAATTAACTTTTGTACAAAGTCTCCCTCTGGTAAATATATTGCCGTGAGGTTCCGAAATAGAATTAGCCACTCCTTCCTTTCCGGTAGGTGTCGTAAGAGGCGACTAAGGGAACTTAGTAGAGCGATAGACAGTAGCGTCCCTTTAAAACATCTTTAAAAGCTTAACTGTGGCCGCCTGTCTCGCATAGGGAGGAGACCAGATTTTCATCGTGTTTTTAAAATAGTTTTAGCTCTTTGAAATAAGGTTTATTTTTAAATTTTACTTTTTTATCGCTCTCTAACATTCCCATATAACAAAAGAAGTGACTTGTAAAAATAACCTTATTTCAAAGTTATTTAAAACGATATCAAAGTGTGACCTCTTCGATTCAGTTTATTTGAAGGGACCCTTACTAATATTATAAATTTAAAAGTGAGATTTTTGTCTGTTTGTTTGTTATCTCTTAGCATCTGAACGCCTCAATCAATAGTCATGATATTTTATATATAGATTGTCTACAACAACACGCCATGCCTCTCCAAAATGCAAAGAATTAAAAATAATATTTACAAGGGAATAGAGAAGGACTATATTCCTTGGTCGAAGCCAAGGAATATAGTCCTTCTCTAGCCGGACTGAAGGAAGACGTCTCAGAAACACAAACAGAGCACTCCGTCTGTATATAGTCACACACATGGCAACGCAACGCTGTTATGTCCATGATACTGCTCATGTCTATAGGCGACGGTTACCACTTTCCATCAGGTGGGCCGTCAGCTTGTTTGCCATTCTATGTTGTATAAAAAAAAAAAACATTAAAGTAAAAAGTTGGAGAGGCGTGCCCTGTTAACGTAGACAATTTATACACTGGGAGGAAAGGAATCGTTAAAAAAAATCTATCTTCTTGCATAATAATGCAGGAAGAAGAGGGGCGCATAGGCACCTGTTTTTCAATTGGTGATAATGGAATGGTAACCCTATCTGTTCTTTTAAGTTTTTGCTTATTAATATATAGATTAAATTAAATCCTACCCAAATAGCTTCTGCTGAAAATCAGCGCTGTAGCGTAACACTGAACGGGGACTACTCTCAGCTCCTATACGTGTTATTTTACTCCGTATGAACCTTTTTTGTAAGTGTGACAATGTTTCCAGATCTTGGACCTGTGCATCGGCAACCACGACCTGTACATGAGGAGGCGCAAGCCCGACACCATGGAAGTACAGCAGATGAAAGCACAGGCCAAGGAGGAGAAACAGGTTGTTGCATTTTATTTACTTTGATCATTTACCTCCTTATTCTATTATTAGTGTTCGACCGAAACAGGTTTTACAGCCGAAACCGAAACAGAAACCGAACTTTCGGCCTTGATCTCAGTTTCGGCCGAAACCGGAACTTACTGAAACATTTAATATTTCTCTTCTATACTGAAATCTAGTGTATTTTTTACACAAACACACAGATAGTTAAAGGGTTATAATTAAACACTAATTAAAGTATGTAACAAATATGTCATATATATTTATATGTAAAAACATGTTGAAATTATGACTTACTCTTGGAAGTAAACTTAAAAAAAAAACAACTTTCAGTTAGACACACACACAACACAAATACACACACAAAGTTTCGGCGCGGCCGAAAGTTTCGGCTAATTTTTGGCCGAAACCCAAACTAAGGCCGAAATTAGAATTTCTGGCCGAAACTAACCGAAACCGAAAGTTCGATCAAACACTAGTTATTATCCTTATTTAAGTTTATATTAGTAACTTAAAATATACATTTATATATTCACATTATTATACGTATTGTACATACCAGAGTGAGTCTTTGTACAAAAGTCATTTGCTTGCTTGGACACCTCTGTCCCATTCGTGTTTCTACCGTGAAGCAGTTGTGTTTGCATGGCTGTGTTTCGGTTTGAAGGGTGGGATATGTCAGTGAATTTACAGGGTACACAGGAATAACACTTGAATCCTCAGGAATGGCAACGCATGGAGGGGTGTCATGGGCGAAACGGTATACTCTGTTATGTCCATGGTACTGCTCGTGTCTATAGGCGAAGGTTACCACTTTCCGTCAGTATGTTTGCCATTCTAAGTTGCATAAAATATGTACATAATATAAAAATATGTATTTAAAAAACGAACAGAGTTTTGTACCTCCAGTCAAACTGTTTATAATTACTCCTCTCCGTCCAAAGGTTGCCTGCAAGAGATCGTTTAACATCAGACGGGCTGTATGCTTGTTTGCTGACTTCCTTTTAATTGCAGCGGAGACAGGTGGAACGCAACAAGCTGGCCCGCGAGAAGCAGCTGCGCGAAGCGGCTGAGCGCGAGCGAGCCGCCATGGAACAGCGGCTGCTGCAGTACCAGGAGGAGATCAGGCTTGCTAACGACGCGCTGGTAAGTACAACGACCTTGATGGTGTACTGGCTTAATACACTGCTTCAACCTTCGATGGTCACGGGTTCGATACCTACGTAATACTATTTTTTATATATAGAAAATAACCAGGCAATACAAATATAGTAATAAATTTAAAAAAAATAGAATTACATTTGTAATTCAATTTTACTTTTTGTACCAGAGGGAGACTTTGTATAAAAGTCGATTGCTTGGGTACCTCTGTCCCATTAGTGTTTCAACCGTGAAGCAGTTGTATTTGCACGGCTGTGTTTCGGTTTGAAGGGTGGGATATGGCGTGAATTTACAGGGTACAGAGGAATAACACCTGAGTCCTCAGGAATGGCAACACATGGGGGGTATCATGGGCGTAACAGTATACTCTGTTATGTCCATGGTGCTGCTCATGTTTATAGGCGACGGTTACCACTTTCCATCGGGTGGGCCGTCAGCTTGTTTGCCATTTTAAGTTGTATAAAAAAAAATTACTATGCCCTAGCAATGGGGTTTCTGTAATAATAAATAGTCATAAATGACTGTATAGTTCCGCCATAGAATAGGCCACCCCTACCTTTCCCGTGGGTGTCGTGAGAGGCGACTAAGGGAGGGCGAGGGATGGGCAGCAGCGTTCCTCTTAAAACATCTCCAAAGCCAAACTGCGGTTGCCAATCCGAGTGGTGATGAACAACTGGTGCCGCGTGCGGCGAGCGTCGAGCGTGTAAAGTGTAGAGTGCGTTGTGCGGACGGCAGCGGCGGTCGGAGGAGACGGCGGAGCTGCTGGCGGAGAAGGGCCGCATGGCGGAGGAGGAGGCGTCGCTGCTGGCGCAGAAGGCCAGCGACGCCGAGCGAGACAACGCGCGCCTGCGGCTCACCGCCATCAAGACCGAGGAGGAGAAGGTGGGGACCGTTTGTTTAAATCATTTTTATCTATTTTAATAGGAACATTCAATAAATACATACAGACGTCTTGTGAAATGAGCTCCCTGTCGAGGTTTTCCCTAGAGACTGTGGAGTATTTATTATATTGTATGGGGTTTTTCAAAAAGGGTTTCTTCAGGGTCAGCAACGCGCACGTGGCATCCCTAGTTTTGCGTGTGTGTCGTCTGTCCAGTAGCGTCCATAGACAGTGGTCGTTTACTATCAAACGGGCTGTATGCTTCTTTGCCACCTTTGTGGTGAAAAGAAAAAGCATTTTTACAACTAATTTAATATTCTTTTTTTCATTTGTCTTACAAATTTATTGTTAGTTATAAATTTACATGTGTTGGGGTAAGTTCAAGTAATTGTAAATAATTTTATGGTACTTATCAATACAGAAAGAATGGGGGAAAGGGATTGTTAGTAATGGAGACTGAGAATCCTATTGCTAGCAATATACCCAACCAGGTCGACCTCCTCGCGGTTCCCCCGGGAAACTGTAATGGTTAATTCCTGATGAATTCATCATGATGGGCTAACTGGCTTGTTTTCATTCTCATCTATCACCCTTCACTGGTGCTCCACCAGCGTATCCCGTTAGCGCAGGCCGGGTTACCATACCATTTTCACCCATCAAAAAAAAATACAGAAAGAATAGAGTTTCGATTTTGTATACGTGAAATATCGATACTGTAGATGAATTCAATTCTACATATCGCTTAAGACGATGTTTTGTAACGACAATTGGATTACTTAAATCACGCTTAAACAGCTAAACGAATTAGAATGAAATTCGGCACACGGGCAACTTATATTCTAGTTTAACACATAAAAGAGCAATTTATATACAAATTGACGCTTGCAAAGCCGCGGGAAACAGTTAGTAATAAAATAAAGGTAATGCCAATATGTATAATGGAATGGTGCCTAAGAAATGGACAGTACAATTGGTAGACTATCAACCAGATATGATCAAATGGCATAGTGCAGATAGTTTTTTTTATTTTTTTTTTATTAGTGATAATAGAATGGTAACCCCGCCTGCGCTATCGGTATACGCTGGCGAGGCACCAGTGAGGGATGATAGGTGAGGATGAAAGCAGATCAGTTAGCCCATCGTGACGAATTCCACTAGAATTAACCACTATGGTTTCCAGGGGGAACTACGTGGTGATCGACCTGATAGGGTGTATTGCTGGCAATGGGACAGTTAAATCCCATTACTAACAATCCCTTCCCCCCCCCCCCCTAGTGAGGATAGTGGAGAAGTAGTGGATGAGATTTGTAGAGGACTGTTACAACAATGAAGAGGTATATGCCCAGCATTGGATCCAATCCCATCAAGTGTTTACTGTCCATAGCTGAACATAGGCCTTTCCCATAAAGGTAGTTTTGCCAGTAGAAGCCGCGTTTAGCAGGCGAGTTGGCAGTGGAATAGTGTGAGCCAAACATATAAAATGCCAAAAAATAATTGGATATTTTCAGGTGCACTTAGAGCGGAAGACCCGAGAGGCCGAATTCCTAACGGCCAGGTTAGTCGAGGAGTCGGAGAAACGTGCGGCGGAGGCCGAGCGGCTGAAGGCCGAGCTGGTGGCCGCCAGGGTGGCCGAGAAACAGGCCAAGGAGAAGTTGCTCAACTTCCTGAGCAGGACCTCCACCGGTTCCTTACCACCGGTAAGTTGTTTAAGATTAAAGACAATTTTTATTTAAATAAATTCAAATTTAAGTATTTTTTATTTAAATAGACTTGTTTACAAGCTTAACTAAAAAACTAAACTAACCTTCAAGAAAAGAGCATATTCCTTTTTAAAAGGCCGGCAGCACACCAATGCAATGCCGTAGGTGTTGTGAGTGCCCATGGGCGGCGGTAGTCACTTACCATCAGGTGAGCCGCATGCTCGTTTGCCCCCTGTGTTGTAAAAAAAAAACTTAATTATAAGTATTTCCGAACAATAATTTATGATGGTTTGAAGGGTTTTTTTTTAATGGATGATAATGGAATGGTAACCCCACCCGCGCTATCGGTATACACCGGCGGGCCACCAGTAAAGGATGATAGATGAGGATGAAGTAGCTCAGTTAGCCCATCGTGACGAATTCAACAAGAATTGTTCACGATGGTTTCCAGGGGGAACCACGTGGAGGTCGACCTAATAAGGTATATTGCTAGCAATGGGGCTGTCAAACTCCATTGCTAACAATCCCTTTTCCCCTCGGTTTGAAGGGTGGGATATGGCGTGAATTTACAGGGTACAGAGGAATAACACCTGAGTCCTAAGGAATGGTAATGCATGGGGAGTATCATGGGCGAAACAGTATACTCTGTTATGTCCATGGTACTGCTCGTGTCTATAGGCGACGTTTACCGCTTTCCATCAGGTGGGCCATCAGCTTGTTTGCCATTCTAAGTTGTAGTAAAAAAATGACGATTCTACCGCCCGCTTCAGAATGCATTTTTAGCTGAGAAGAAAATTGTTTTTTTAATTATACAGTATGTTATAAATTAATTATAATTAATTAATTATAAATTAATTCACTTATTTCCAGTCATCAACAGTGCCATCGAGTTTGTTCCCATCGACGTGTTCCCTGCCGGCCGAGTTGGGGGGCGAAGCCCTGCAGAACGGCAACGCAGTTCCGTCGGAGCCCGAGCTTAACTCTTACCAGTTGGTTCCAGACGACTCCGATCCACATATACATAGGTTGTCGTTAGAAATCGAGAAGGAGAGGTACGTAATATATGAGTGATTGTTGCATTGAGTGTAGTTTAAATGTCACTAGTTCGTAAATGTATGTGTAAACTGTATGTATGTATTGTGAATGAGAGTGTCTATACCAATGTTTCCCAACTTTTTTTGTGCAATGCTCTATTTGAACATTTCTAAAATTTTTATGCCCCCATACATAATTTTTCCCAACAAAGTTTACTGGACGACTCTAATCGCCCAGTGGATATTTTGGTAACGTCAAACTAAATTATACCTAATAAATATTTACAGCATTTTTTTTTATTCACTTTTTTGTTTAATTTTGCACCGATATCTACTTGTAGCTTTGCATTTTAAATGGCCCAGAGCAAGAGAGTTAAAATCGCTTCGAGTCCATTTTTTAATTGTCCTCCGTAACAATCAAATTTTCCCCCTGTGGGGCGTGGGCCCCACGTTGGGAAACACCGGTCTATTCGGTCCTCGTCCATCAATGATTAATGAAAAGTCCTTCGCAGTTTGAGTGCCGAACTGTTAACATTAGGCCCCGAGCAGTGATCTTTTATCTGCCTGAAGATGCCTTGTGAAGGGAAACACGTTGCGAAACATGCGTGGGCGAAATGGCAGTCGGAGATTGAGCTAGATGTCACGGTTGGCAGGCGGATTGGCAATTGGAGTCAGACTAGAGATGTTTTTAGAGGGAAGCTGCTGCCCATCCCTCGCCCTCCCTTAGTCACCTCTTACGACACCCACGGGAAGGGAATGGGTGGCCTTTTCTATGCCGGGACCACACGGCTAATTTATTTAATATTATTGTTTGTTAATAGTCAATAAATTTGAAAACTACATAACCAAATTTAAAAGTTCTTTCACCCGTGGAAAGCTACATTGTCAGAGAGTAACATAGGCTACATATTATTGGCGAAAATTCTGCTTACCCGTGCGAAGCCGGGTTGGGTCAATAGTATGTCATCAAAATACCTACCTACGGTTGTTACAGAGTGGAATACCTGGCCAAGTCGAAGCACCTCCAGCAGCAACTGGACGAGCTGCGGTGCGAGTTCTCGGTGCTACGCGTGGACCGTGCGGCTGCGACCCTGGACCGCCTGCACGAGCAGCAGGCGCGCGCCGGCGACGACAAGTACTCCACCCTCAGGCGGCTCAAGCAGGGCTCCACCAACACCAGGGTCGCCTTCTACGAGGAGCTGTGACTTCCGTACCCAAGTACTAATGGTATTCAACATCATCATGTAAGCTTTTAACTGTCCACTGCTGAGGAAAGGCTTAGTAATGGGGTCTAACTGACCCATTACTAGCAATATATCATTGTGCCTCCAATCAAACTGTTTATAATTACTCCTCTCCATCCAAAGGTTGCTTGGAAGAGATCGCTCTTAGCGATAAGGCCGCCCATTGTTTTCTCATTGTGATTATTTCTTGTAATTGTTTAAATTTATAATAAGTTTACTACTGTAATCTTGTGGAGGAACCAGAGGGAGACTTCGTACAAAAGTCGATTGCTTGGGTACCTCTGTCCCTTTCGTGTTTCAACCGTGAAGCAGTTGTGTTTGCATTGCTGTGTTTCAGTTTGAAGGGCGGGATATGGCGTGAATTTACTGGGTACAGAGGAATAACATCTGATTCCTTAGGAATGGCAACGCATGGGGGGTATCATGGGCGAAACAGTATACTCTGTTATGTCCATGCTACTGCTCATGTCTATAGGCGACGGTTACCACTTTCCATCAGGAGGGCCGGCAGCTTGTTTGCCATTCTAAGTTGTATAAAAAAAAAACAATAGAGAGTATCTATCTATCTATATCCTCTCATATTAACATCCACGTGGTTACCCCTAGAAACCATCATGGTTAATTCTAGTTGAATTTGTCAGGATGGACTAACTGATCTGCTTTCATCGTCACCCATCATCCCTCACTGGTGTCCCGCCAGTGTATATCGATAGCGCAGACGGGGTTACCATTCTATTATCACCCGTTAAAAAAATAAACCTAGTATCTACAATAAATTGTCACAATATTGTACACCGCTCTAGCCGCTGACATTGATGCTCCTTTCCACTTTGGGTGTTGCTGGAAGTGAACTCCCTTAGAATTAAGCTTGCCTTTTTATATTTACTTAATTCTGTCATATTTTTATGTATTATTAGCGTGTGCAATAAAATATAAAATATTTTTTTATGCAACTTAGAATGACAACCAAGCTGAGGGCCCACTTGATGAAAAGTGGTAACCGTTGCCTATAGACATAAGCAGTATCATGGACATAACACGGTATAGTGTTTCGCCCATGATAGCCCCATATCTCATATGTTCTCAGGTGAGTTCTCCAATACTCAGGTGTTATTCCTCTGTATCCTGTAAATTCACTGCCATATACCTTCAAACCGAAACACAGCCATGCAAACACAACTGCTTCACGGTAGAAACACGAGTGGGACAGAGGTGCCTAAGCAAGCGACTTTTGTACAAAGTCTCCCTTCTGGTGTAAGTATGATATACAGTAGAAAATAAATTTAAAAAAATTAACGTATTTTTTTTCAGGTACTCAAGTACTATGAAAAGTAATCACAAACACGCACAGTAAGTGATAGATATGACAATAACTAGTAAATAATTTATTTAGTTAGTAATTAATGTAAAAGCCTTATGTTATATCACTTTTTATATAATGCAATTGTCCGATTACGAAAGTAGTGGAATTGTGCCGTCCCTATGTCGCTCTGAAGCTGTGACCGCAGCGCTACGCAAATAAAGATAATAAAAAAAAAAAGTAACTACGCGGTTTTTGAACGAGTTATTTTATCTTTGGAAGATCTCGATCAGTCGTACTAGGTTATTGTAAACTTAAAAATACATTAGGTTTTTTTTTGAAGTGAAAATGAAGTAGTGATCTCGTGTTCGCTATCTGTGTACTTTTTTGGGATACTAGTGAGGGATTAATGTTGAGGATGAAACAGGTCAGTTGGCCCATAGTGACGAATTCAACAAGAATTCATCCTCACACGCTTGAACCTAAATGGTCCCGTACAGTACGGTTTCAGAGAAATTTTCTCCTGCGAACGCTCAGGCTGTGGAGTAAGCTCCCTGTCGAAGTTTTCCCTAGAGACTACAGTATGGGGTTCTTCAAAAGGGGTATATTAAGTGACTCCGCTAATGTTGCAGGTGTCCATAGGCTACAGTGACCGTTTACCATCAGACGTACTGTACGCATATTTGCTACTTTTGTGGTTAAAAAAAAACTATGGTGGCACACAGGGAGAACCGTGAAGGGTCCAACTATATTGCTCGCAATGGAGCAACTATACCCCATTACTCACAATCTCTTACCCCTTAACTCGATAAGTTTAGGTCACATGACTACGAATCGACCTGTTTTGTCTATGCCTTGCTTACTTGTAGGACGTTTCTTTTAAATTGGCCAAACTTGTCAAATTATGTCGCTGCGGTCATATCTTTATGGGTATTGAAACATAAAATTCTCCGTTCTTTATTGTTTTGTAATCGAAGTTTAAAATTAAAAAAAAAAAAAACTATCGGTAAGTTTTGTACAATATATTTTATATGATTGCTAATTAAATCCTATTTATTGATCTCTTAATATCTCTATATAGGTTTTAAACGAAACACTGTAGTCTTTTGAAATGAAATTATAATTGTAAGTCACGTGACAACTCAAGTGTAACTCGCAATAGAATTAAAAAGTTAATTTTACGAAACTAGGTGTTGCCTTGTGAAAAACCATATGGTTGTTTAATTTATTAGAATTATTTTATTTAATCCCGCTACCATTATTTATTTATTTATTCATAGGAAAACCAGGGCTATGCTATAGCAAATAGATACAGTTTTAGGATAACATAATAAGCCATTAATAGGTTTTCACAAATAGCAACAATATAGATACAAGGCGCTGTACACAAAGCTACAAAAATACGAGTTAACAAAAAAATTATATGTATGACTGGCAACACTCGAAACTTGACCACCATTATTTCTGCAAACTTTCAATTAATTAATCAGGCGTTCTCATTGTCCCGCCGATTGGTAGGGTGGGCGAGGTAGTGGCCTCGGGGCGTGCCCCATTGCCCCAGCTTTAACTCCGAAGGCTACCACCTCCGGGTCACTTGATTTTAAGACAGACCACCCGTGTATGTCGGCTTGACATTTTTTTCTATCTTCTATATTGTTGGTGTCTTGTATAGTTGTGTTGGCTGCTCCTCGCTCATATATATATATATATATATATATATATATATATATATATATATATATATATATATATATATATATATATATATATATATATATATATTTCTTGTATTGAATAAATAAATAAAATATTTTTTTGTGTTGGCAGTGACACACATAACTACTGCTACTTCATACTTATTAATGGTGGCGGAATTAAACAAAATAATTTTAGACAAATAACCGGTAAAAATATTTTTTTTTTATGTACAAATTATTCTTTTTTTATAATTAAATTTATACAGATTAAATATGTACTATTTAAAAAATAAACTATCATTCTCTTGTCTCTGTATTAGCTTCAGAAGATACCAGTGGTTCCTAGAACTCTATATAGTTTCTGGTCATTTAATGTCATTAAATAAACTTTTCTCTTTTAAGTAATAATTTTTTATTGAATTATACTTAGATCTAAGTAGCCAGATGTTATTGAAATTGAACACGTTTGTAGAAATTTACAAATAAAAAAAAAAAAGTATATTTTCCAAAGATTTTAGAAAAAGTGGTTGACTATTTTTTAAAGTTTCTAATTTAATGTAAAATTTTCCTTTTTTTTATACTAACATGTTTAACATATTTTCGTTTTATATAAATAATAATGTGGTAAATTTTGTCTGTATGTACATTGAATATAGACGTTATATCTAATTATTCCTAGTTCAATGTTATTTGAAATAAGTATAAGCGAATCTGCCTCTTTTGCGTGAAACAGGCATAAATTTATTTATTCTTTTCCAATTTTTTAACCGACTTCAAAAAAGGAGGTTCTGTGTTCGGCTACATTTTTTTTTTCTTATATTTGATAACTAATTTGTGACAACACAAAGATCTGGATAGTTTATACTTTTGTATCTTTAGTTTAAGTTAATGTACGACAAGGGGTCGTTCATTAATTAAGGAGGCTTGGAGGAGGTCGAGAAGATGCTGAAAAACATCACGTGATTAATGGACGACCCTCTAAGCAAAAGTATCAGTACAAGGCCTTTAAAATATTTATGGAAAAGTGCAAAATGTATAGAACATGACTTATTATGGACTTACCCCCTTATTCATAAAACGTCAAACCTTTCATAAATCTATTTTAGCTATTGAAGTGTTTTGTTCTTTCTCTCTTTTACACTAATTTTTAAATATGAAAGACAGTGACAGAACACTCTAATAGTAAAAATAGATTTTTTTTTATACAAATTAGAATGGCAAACAAGCTGACGGCCCACCTGATGGTAAGTGGTAACCGTCGCCTACAGACATCGTCATAGTCGTAGAATACTGACGGATCTGACGAATATTACATATAAACATCCGTCAGTATTCTACGACTATGACGACATGAGCAGTACCATGGACACAACAGAGTATACTGTTTCGCACATGATACCCTCATGCGTTGCCATTCCTGAGGACTCAGGTGTTATTCCTCTTTACCCTGAAAATTCACTGGCATATCCCACCTTTCAAAGCGAAACACAGCCATGCAAACACAACTGCTTCACGGTAGAAACACGAATGGGACAGAGGTGTCCAAGCAAGCAAATGACTTTTGTACAAAGACTCTCGTGTCTGGTGGTCTACCATGAAACGAAATTATGAATTTTCGGGCTCAATTTCGTGTATTTGTTCGTACCAAAATCGACCCAGTGAATGGAGCTTAACATTTCGTTCATCATAAATTCTATCCTAATAGTCCAGAGGAATGATATTTTAACATTTTTAATAATTTTAAACGGCATGAATTATGTAATTTTAACATCAAATTTCTGTTTCGTTCGTGCCCGAAATTTCGGAAAATTTCATGGTAGGCCCTCTCATCTGGCTTGTAGGATGTTTTAGTTTTTATGAATAAGGGAGAAGAATATTAATTATCATAAACAGAAGTCATCCAAACACATTGCAGGCTCGACTCGGAGGTGTCATTTGTCCAAACTTATATCTGAAATTAAAAATTCAATTTTGATATTACAGCGAAATTTCTATTGTAAAGATTAATATAAACTAATTATATGATAGATCTCTTATAGGTTTAAATAAAAGGTAATATAATTTTAGTTTATTATTGTCTTTAAAATGGTAATTTCGCTAAATTATCATCTTAAAATAAGTTTAAGAGGAATGGCCCCTCAGAATCGGCTCCATTGTCACAAAACTTTATTGGGTGAAAAATAATAGCCATCGATACAAGAAACGGTATAGTTTAATAACTAATAGGTATGGGTAATATCTATATATTTCAGTTACAATATCTATATATATATGGTCCAATAATGAATATGGTAAAAGTTTGTTGCCCAAAAAATAATATTGGATAAAAGACTTTCAACATATTTAAAACCCTGTGGCGTCTGTAAATTAATATTGTAAATATTCATCTCATAGCCACTTGTCAACATCATTACTTTCTTCTCCATCAAGTAGGTTAATTTAATTGTACATAGATATTTCACCTCTTTCTATCTTTCGCACTGGACATACAGACATGACAGCGACGTTTACTTCTCACATTCATTTCTGCTGTCATTCTCTCATTATATGAAAATCAATAATATAATCAAGTTGGTTGTTACTTATTTCGTCCAAATAACTACAACCCTTTTCCCGCCATCAATATCCCGAGAAACTCAATACATAGATATTGGATCGATATCCAAATTACCCATACCTATTATAACCCTTTCAGACCTGAACGATACGGGCGTGAGGTGTAACTTGTAAAAAATTCTAAAACCGCGTGCAATTCCTTTTTTACGCACGAAGCTGAAATAACATGATAGTGAGATTCGAAACCAGCCAATAGGAAATCATTTTAGCGGTTAGGTGATGCAGTAGTCTCGTGCGTGCCGGCAAGATGGCTCGGCTCCAAAACACGAAAATATATTTAATCTGTAAGGAAAATAAATCTTGGGTCTGAAAGGGTTATATGTTACTGCTTCGTTGTTAATTTAATTTTGTTACAGTAAAAACAAATAGACAAAGAATTATGGTAAATTGGAATGGCCCTTAAGTAACAATATAATTTACAGATCCAACTGGTTTATATATTAAACAAAAAGTACAAAAGATGTGCTATTATCAATTAAGGCAGTTTAAAAAAAAAAAAAGAAATTTTGTAACTGTCGTTGTAGGAGTATATATCAGGATGTAGCATATTTAAAAACTAGAGACCCGGTGAATTTCGTGACCTACAACGCCATCTATGAACATTAATCCTAAGTTGCGATTCTCATACAACATTACCTATTTTTAATTTTACTATTTTTCAGCTTAACTTTTGGGTTTTTACGAATTTTTTTTTTATTTTAAATCTCTCCTGTGTTACAATGAATAAAATTGAATGATAATTAAATTCAAATCGGACAAGTCGTTTTTGAGTTTTAGCGAGACCAAGGAAAAGCAATTGTTTTTTTATATATGTAGATGAACATCAATGTATTTTTCATAAACTATCTTATAAGTAAACCTATAACCAATTGACCACAATATAAATGTGTTTCATTAAAGAATTTCATTGCCATAAAGAAATTGGACTTAGTTTCGTTTACAGAAAGCTCGAAATTTGAATATCAAATATAATTTTGCTATGTTTGTAATATTAATTGTCCATAAGGCCAATTTGAATTTTTAGTTTTAAAAGCGTTAATGTAATGTCCTAATATATGAAATGGGAAGACGACAATTTAATGATTTGTTTGTTTTTAAAAGCAAAATTAATTTAATTATATCGTGGCACGCATTATTAACCGACTTCAAAAAGGGAGACGTTCTCAGTGTGATTAATTTTTTTATCATGTGTTTGTTATTTGATTTTGTTATCGATAATGTTGGTCCCAAAATAATGTTGATAGGATGGAAGTCAGTTTTTTTTAAATGATATTGAGGTTATATTTAAAGTGTCATTTACAAAAATTGAATTCTGTCTATATGCACCTACATATAAGTTTCTACAGACCATTCTGTTATGTACCTTCACTAGATATTTTAAGCTATAATTAAAATAATAATAAATAAGTACATAATAATAATAATACTTTGTATTATAAATTAGGAGTGGGTAATATACAGCGATAACTATATATTTTAGTTACAGTATCTATTTACTGGTCCAATAACGTATACGTTAAAAGTCTGCTGTCCAAACGACCGATATGGTGATGAACGTTTTTTCGCCATCAATATCTAATATCTGATATATAGATATTGGATCGATATCGATATTACCCATGCCTATTATAAATGTTACTGCTTCGTTTTGTGTAATGGCGTCATATATTCGTACTAATAGTGTATTATTATTTTTTTTTAGATAGAAACAATATTACTGATTCGGACCGAACTCATACGTATATATCAGATATTTGTATACAGAATGACGTGCATAGCAGATATTGAAGCCAATTTGGAGCTGTTATTTCTTTAGACTCATTTCTAAAATTAAAATTTGAATTTAATTTTAGAGTTTATTTTTTTGTATTGTGTCAGCCATTAAGTGTCCACTGCTGGACATAGCCTTTCCCATAAGAGGGGTTTTGCCTGTAGTTGCCACGCTTGGCAGGCGGGTTGCCAAAAGTTTGGCTTTTGGTTATGTTTAAAGAGGGACGCTGCTACCCATCTATCTCTCGACCATTAAGTTTCCTTAGTCGCCTCTTACGACACCAACGGGAAAGGAAGGGGTGGCCCGTTCTATGTCTGGACCGAAATGGTAGATATACAATTTTAGAGATGAGTTTAATATATTATTAATTGAAATAATAGTTAAATCTTTATTCGAAGGACTAATGAAATCAAGTGACGTGTCTGCGTCTAAAAATTATTTATTTGGTACATAACCTTGGGTATTGTGTATACAAAAGATTGCTTTTTTACTGTAGTTGTTGCAAGAACAGTGACCCAAATTTTTTAGTTCACATTATTATGTAAAGCGTTCATTATGAAATATAGATTTTTATGTATAGATATTTAACTATTGTTCGGGAATGGCATAGGTGCATTTGTAACAGCAATAAGACCGCCTTACT